TTATCGTGACACCCCGGGGGGGGGGGGGGGGGGGGGGCATATCTATTCAGCTCAGTTCTGAAGTTTCACGGTGAACTAAAATACCCATACTGTGCTTTTACATTCTGATCTTTGACTGAAAGGCGTGGCCAGCAAACACGTCACTTGGAGTCTGTAGCAGACATATTCGCGGACACGAAAGTCAGTTCCGCTAGTACAAATGAAAAATGATTGTTTTTACACCCTGAAGAGTAGTCTGGACTAAGTCTTTCTGAAAGAAAATATCATGTCTACGACGCATGAAACAAAACACGGGAGTGTCAAATGCACGAGAGCGCCTGTTCTAACACTGGGACCCCTACAAAGCGTGCTGTGTGGTTTCGCTTGTGCGTTCAATTTGTAAAATCAATGACATATTTATTATAAAATAGAGACTGGTTCAGTCTTCAAAAGGTGATCTGTTTGTTTTTGTCGAGGATTTTGTTTTATTTCCACTTCATGCTTACTGCCTGCTGCACGTGCCCCTTGGGTCCACCCCTCGGGCTCATCAAACACTTCTCACGTGGAGTGTTGGAGTATGAATATTTATAAGTGTTTATCGTAGATGTTCACACACGGAGAAGTAGGGAAATCAACTCGCCTGGGACACGCCCGGGAGATCCTGTTTAATCACAAACAGGCCTAGGTTCCGCCAGTGCAGGTTTCAACACAATGGAACTTTGTATCTAACCAGTCATTGTTTCATCCCATTTGACATCTGAGTATAGATAACAAGGCGATGACGTCATGGCTGTTGAACAACGCGCACACCCAGCAGCGCCAGGAGACTCGACCCTGCTTGTGCAGGCTCTTCGAAAGCAATGATTATGTCGTTTTTGGCATGTTATGTTGCCAAACCCAGCAATAAATCTGTTTTGGGAAAACATTCCCCAAATATGTGCATAATTTGTCAAGATGTTTCATAATTGTGCGATTTAACTCCCAACACAGGCCTTGGCCCTGTTTCACAAATAGATGTTAGGGCTACGACTGTCGTAAGTCAGTATTAAAGAATGGGAATTACGATCTAAAATTGCTTTGTGGAACGGGTCCCTGGGCATCGTTATAAGCATAGATGTCAATGCAAGCAGGAAACATCTGTAGGAAGCACAACGCTCAGGAAATGACACCTGTTATATATAGTACAGTGATGGTGAGTTCGCGTGCTTTCAAGTCGCAGTGATGACTAGACCAGCTTAATTAATCATGGCGGCCAGAAAACAATCGAGGTCCAGACGAACCAGTGGTTGACAGCATGAGTGACCGCCCCTGGATTACAGTGACATAACAGAACACAAGTGATGGGAAAAAGGGACCTTGCCCCACCACATCCTCAAATAAGTCCACATTTTTGTTTGTTTGTTTGTTTGTTGTTTAACGCCACACTCAGCAATATTCCAGCTATATGACGGCGGTCTGTAAATAATCGAGTCTGGACCAGACAATCCAGTGACTCACATCATGAGCATCGATCAACGCAATTGGGATACGATGACAAGCATCAACCAAGTCAGCGAGCCTGACCACCCGATCCCGTTAGCCGCCTCTAACGACAAGGGGCGGTCGGGTAGCCTAGTGGTTAAAGCGTTCGCTTGTCACGCTGAAGACCCGGGTTCGATTCCCGACATGGGTACATTGTGTGAAGCCCATTTCTGGTGTCCCCCGCCGTGATATTGCTGGGATATTGCTAAAAGCGGCGTAAAACCATACTCACTCACTCACTCTAACGACAAGCATAGTCGCATTTTACGGCAAGCATGGGTTGCTGAAGACCTATTCTATCCCGGATCTTCACGGGTTTAGTCCATACTGACTACAAGCAATGGATAATCCCACTGGGGTGTAACCTGGGTGAATGGAAATTTGATTACAAACATATTTCATCAATTCAATTTCCTAAAAAATGTCACAGAAAATGTCAAAAAAATGCTCAAACAAAACCTTCATTTATGAATGTTATCGACCAGACTTATCAATACTTATGACATTCGAAGACCATGTTTCGATACTCTCCTTTGTATCATGACTTTGTATCATGACTTTGCTTTAGGCTGTTGGTTAAAAGAAGAGACGACATTGCGGCTGTTTGTAGTCACGGAGGAGGACCGTAGTTAACTCAAACCGGTGAAGATGACGATGGCATGGAGCGGACACACCCAGACATATACCTTCCCCAAGCAGCGTTTACTTCCCCTTTTGTCATGACGGCAGTGCCTGGTAAACTGCTGTCAGCTTTTGTGAATGCTGTTTGTTTGTTGTTTAACGCCGCACTCAGCAATATTCCAGCTATATGACGGCGGTCTGTATATAATCGAGTCTGGACCAGACAATGCCGTGAATAAAATCATGAGCATCGATCTAAGTAATTGGGATACGATGACATGCATCAATCAGGTCAGCTATCTTGACCACCCGATCCCGTTAGTTGCTTTTTACGGCAAGCATGGGTTGCTGAAGACACATTCTAACCAGGATCTTCAAGTGTGTTTGTGTACGCCGGCTTGATGGATTTGTATGTATATGTCCATGATGATCATTAGTTCTTTCAAATATTATAAGTTACATATAACTGCATCGTATATTGTCGTGTAAAATCCACAGTGTTTTGTTTAATGTGCGTCCTTGTCAATAATCCTACTGTCGAACTAAACTAAAAGTGTAGAAAAGCAGTGGTCATTAAAGTGATGTCGAAAAAAGCTTTTCAGGTTTCATTTAATAAATACGAATCATAGGGCTGAGAAAATAGCATGTATTAATTAACCGTACCGTCACTCCGATTAGTCTTAAAAGGTACTTTTACAGGTAAAATAATGATAAACTTGGAAAATATCCGTGTGTTGTCATGCATGTATGCAACTGCTTACAGCCTGAGGTAATTACCTAACACCTGCCCCGAGGTGATGACACCGCAGGGGGCCCTGCATTCTCACAGGTGCAAATGTCACCTGTGTTGGTCTCAAAATATTGTTGTTATTGTACCTTATTGAAATATGGGTTGACGGGGTAGCGATAAAGATATGTACTGCATTATATTTGGTGAAATAGTTAAAAGCTGTGAAACGGACGAGTATTGGAGGGTTGGGTTTTTTGAAGGAAGAAGTATTTGCTGTTCTACAGATGATTTCTTCAGCCAGCGTCTGACTCAGGTGATGACGTATCTGAATCTGTACTATCCGTACATCTGTACTATCACCCAATGGTATGGTAACTTGGTTTGGTTTGTTGTTTAACGCCACACTCAGCAATATTCCAGCTATATGACGGCGGTCTGCAAATAATCGAGTCTGGACCAGACAATCCAGTGATTGACACCATGAGCATCGATCCACGCAATTGGGATCGATGACGTGCATCAACCAAGTCAGCGAGCCTGACCTCCCGATCGGATTAGTCGCCTCTTACAAGCTTAACAGTCTTAAAATAAATTTCAAACTGTTTCTTGAACAGGAATTCCTAAATTCCAGATCGCAATCAACCTATCATGTAATGTATGAGGTGTGAGGTGAAATGGGTTTAACGTCGCGTCCAAGATTATTGCACTAATATAGCGACGTGCATGCGTATGTGTGTGTGTGGGGCTACTTGTACTAGTCTGGACTGATGCCGATTTATAGTGCTAGCACACTGAGATACCATGCCGCAGTTTAACATGAATACCCCACTCAGACACAGTATACGGACTCCGAGCCGACCAGTCCTTGTTTTAGCCCCTTAATGTCGAGCGCCAGACAGGGTAACAACAAGTACCATCTTTTAACGTCTTTTGGTATGACGCGGCCGGGGATCAAACCCCAGACCTTCCGCTCTCCGGGCGGACGCTCTACCACAAGACCACGGAGGCGGCACGACAGAAGAAAGCCTGAAGTGATGCAGGTCTTAGACATTTACAAGTTTGGTGAAACCAAAAGCACAGGTATGGTGCTGACGAACCAGAAACATCCTCAGGGCAGTGAGTGAGTATTGTATTACTTCGCTTTTAGCAATATCCCTTCAATATCACGATTGGGAACACCAGGTATGGGCTTCACACATTGTACCCATTGGGAATTGAGCCCGGGTCTTCCGCATGACGATGGAACCTTTAACCACTAGGCTACCCCCACCGCCCCAGGATGATGGAGAGTGGGTGTGAGTTGGGTATAAAGGATCAACACCGCTTTGAACAGTATTCCAGTTATATCACGGCATGTCAGCTTAATAGTGGAGGAAAGCCTGAAGTGATGCAGGTCTCAGACGTTGATCGTTTTGGCGAAACCCACAAACACAGGTATGGTGCTGACAAACCTAGAAACATACCAGGGCAAGCCGGTATTCGAACTCATGATCATAGGTTTGTGGCATGCATGTGCAACTGCACAGCGAAATTATGGCTCCTAAGACAACTGGCTCAACTGTGGCCCCAGACTGTCGGAGACTATTATATTACTGCTGACAAATGGCCATGCTACCTGCCCCCTACTGAGTAGTACACACACCAAGCTCCTTCCAAGAGCGTGACACCTTCGTTACAATCTCGGTAACATCGCTGCCACCAGTGTGGGCGTGGCCATTACAATCATTTTGAAATTTGCCCTCTAACCCCATATTGGGAATGCCATCATGTTTCATTTTGAAAAGGTTTACGACTGACCGTGTTTTCCAGATGAATTTACTTTGTTGTTTTAATAATCAGATTAGTTCGAGATTGCAGACTAACGAAAAATCAACCAACTTCTCCCTTACATTCTTACTATACCAATTAAAGATGATACTTTTAATGAAATAGAAATTCAAATTGACAAACAAAGAAAGTAATTTATCAGCGGTAAGTGTATTCGGCGTCACGAAAGTCGTCACTTGTTTGTAAACATAACAGTCATTCGGTTGCGAGTTCAACTCCAAGCATGCCTATCACAGTGGGGAGTTTTGACTGGTAGCATAGAGAGCTCCCCGAACGGACTATCGCTGTGAGGAGCTTGTACACACACAACAGGACCAGACCAGACAGTGACAAGGTTTATTCATACAACACAGCTGTCAGACATCAGCTGGACATGAACTGTTAACAAACATAATTGAACCCGTCTCTTCATAGCACTTAGATATAGCTCACATAAAACTATGTATCGAATGACCATGCTGCTATGAGATGAAATGTTGTGTAACATTTACTGTGCCATGTTAGAGAGGCAGCTACCAACACAGGAATTGACACCGATACAAAATATCAACAACTCTATCCTATTTTACAGTGTTGTTTTTTTGTGTTTGTGTCAAGTCATGAGTTATACAATCTGCATGATGTACCCAAGATGGAAAGATGTGTACTTGTAGCACACCAGGAACTGAGAACTTGGTCTAGTCGGTGTCCATATCCTGGGGTCGCACATCGGTCTGCACAACGTCAAACTCGACTTTCTTCACCTCGGTCTTCAACACAGACGATGTACCTCGCTTGTAGCGGTAGGAGCCTTGTCTGCACACAGGAAGTAACAAGATAGTCACAACACAATCACAACAGGAAGTGGGCCCCAGGAACTCACAAGATACAGTCAAACAATACAATCACGACATGAATATGGCCCTGTTCCACAATGCAAGTCTATATTAAAGAATGGGAGTAAGAATAGTCTTAGTGCTAAGATCGCTTTGTGAAACCAGATCCTTGTGTCTATTAGTATTACCCAACACCCAGTCTGTATAACCCAACATCCAGTCTGTATTACCTGACACCCAGTCTGTATTACCTGACATCCAGTCTGTATTACCCAACACCCGATCTGTATTACCTAACACCCAGTCTGTATTACCCTAAACCCAGTCTGTATTACCTGACACCCAGTCTGTATTACCCAACATCCAGTCTGTATTACCCAACATCCAATCTGTATTACCCAACATCCAGTCTGTATTACCCAACATCCAATCTGTATTACCCAACATCCAGTCTGTATTACCCAACATCCAGTCTGTATTACCCAACACCCAGTCTGTATTACCCAACGCCCAGTCTCTATAACCCAACACCCAGTCTCTATTACCCAACACCCAGTCTCTATTACCCAACACCCAGTCTGCATTACCCAACACCCAGTCTCTATCATCCAACACCCAGTCTCTATTACCCAACACCCAGTCTGCATTACCCAACACCCAGTCTGCATTACCCAACACCCAGTCTCTATTACCCAACACCCAGTCTGCATTACCCAACACCCAGTCTCTATTACCCAACACCCAGTCTCTATTACCCAACACCCAGTCTGCATTACCCAACACCTAGTCTCTCTTATCCAACACCCAGTCTGCATTACCCAACACCCAGTCTCTATAACCCAACACCCAGTCTCTATTACCCAACACCCAGTCTGCATTACCCAACACCTAGTCTCTCTTATCCAACACCCAGTCTGTATTACCCAACACACAGTCTGCATAACCCAACACCCAGTCTTCATTACCTGACACCCTTGAGGTTGGCCTGGTCGAATGGCCGAATGTACTCCGTCTTGTCCTTGGTGATGACACACACGTCAATGTTGCTGCCAGAGCCAAGGTCATTGAAGATGCCTCCAGCAATGGCATCTCGCACCAACTGCATGGCATCCTCACGCTGTCAACACAGGACACACAAGTGAGTCCATACAATCCACGCCATTGTAATCAGCCACATCACAGAGTCTGACTACCCAATTTACTCCAGGAATCTTTACATGGGGTCAGGTCACAAACACATTTTAAGTCGAGATGTTCACAATCAAACATTATCAACACAGAGTGCTGTGTGGCATCAGAACCTTACCTAAGTAATACAAGGGAGATAACTTGTTATGGGGGCAGGTCAGTGGTTATCCTTGGTATGAAGTAGCATGTTTGTACAAATCTTACACGTTCTAGGTTGTCCTTAAAACCTGTAAACTTTTTAAATCCTGTTCCTATATCCCAATGTCATCTATTGATATAACTTACGAAGTCATGTCTGATTAATATACTCACAGACATATCTGCTTTAAAGCGATCTTCAAAAACTGCCATGGCGGCAAGGGAGCCTGATCCTGTGACACATCAAAGAGACAGACACATGAGATGCAGGCACAGACATCAACAAGTCAGTGAGTGCATTGGGCTTATTACAACTGTGAACAATATTTCAGCCACAATATGACTTCAGCCCAAAGAGATGCAGGTGTCAGACATGTAGTACTTTGGTGAAACACCAGAACCGTGCTGACATTCAAGGATTACTGGTACACTCGGCATTCGAACCAACAATTACTTGATTCTGGCATGTCAAAGGGACATAAGTGTGCACAGCATATTGTGGCTCCTTAGATGACTAACTAACACATCAGATACACCACACATATTGTTGGTGTGGTTAACTTAATGCAAGTGTTTGTTTGTTTGTTTGTTGTTTAACGCTGCACTCAGCAATATTCCAGCTATATGACGGTGGTCTGTAAATAATCGAGTCTGGACCAGACAATCCAATGATTGATATCATGAGCATCGATCCAGGGAATTGGGATATGATGACATGTATCAACCAAGTCAGCGAGCCTGACCACCCGATCTTGTTAGTCGCCTCTTACGACAAGCATGGGTTTCTGAAGACCTATTCTAACCCGAATCTTCATGGGTCTTAATGCAAGTGTCAAACATAGGATAGATATCATCATTTTGGATTATCACCCTAATGAGGTGCAGGTGCAGACACTCATCAATTGGATGAAATCCAAGATCACATGCATGGCGTGAACAAAGATGATTATAGAGGGGGTGTGGATTCAGGAAATCCTAGGAAGGGACATAACTCTGCACAAGTCACAGCACCTTGGACCACTGGTAACCTTGCTGCCCCAATGTTAAAACTTTATTTGTTGTTTAATGCCGCACACAGCAATATTCCAGCTATATCATCGAGTCTGGACAAGACAATCCGATGATGGGATACGATGACATGCATCAACAAAGTCAGTGAGCCTGACCACCCGATCCCGTTAGTCGCCAATTAAGGCAAGCATGGGTTGCTGAAGACCAGATCTTCATGGGTCTGCATCCACTGTGTGACTGTGAGTAGGTGTTGTGTGAATGGGGGAGGTACAAAGTAACTTTGTTCATGTCACATTGTCTTCCTTACAGAGGTTAATGTGAAATCTGTCTAACTGGTATGTTGTATGCAGTTGTATCTGAAATCTGTCTGACTGGTATGTTGTGTGGGGATGTATGGAAATATGTCTGACTAGTATGTTGTTTATGGGGTATGTGAAATCCCTCTGACAACTATGTTGTATGAGGGTGTATGTAAAATCAATTTGACTGGTACGTTGATTGTGGGTGGGTGTGAAATCCGCCTGCATGGCATGTTGTCTGTGGGTGAATGTAGGAACACCTACCCATGGTGACATATGGCAGTTTGTCTGTTGATCCATGGGGCCAGACGCTGTACAGATGGGGGCCGGTAGAGTCCACCCCACCTAGCACCAGGGCGGCACTGATGTAACCATGGTATCTGCAAACACACAAATCAACAAAACTCTTATGTATAAATATTCACCACTCTAAATCTGAGTTAATATTTCCTAGAATAAGCATGAGAAAGTTGGTTTATACTGAATGTCATCAACAATATTGCAGTCATATCACAGAAATCTGTAATTTGTGTAAAGCAATGGTTCATAGCATGCACATAGCGCTGTCAGGGTATGTTTGACAATGGTTCATGGAGATCCTGAAGGGCAATGGCTACTGGAAATCTATTCTGCCCAGGAATCCCCACAAATCCCATGCTGGATTCATGAAGAACCTGAGCAGCAATGGATATAGGGGATCTATTCTGCCCAGGAATCCCCACAAATCCCATGATGGGTACATGAAGAACCTGAGCAGCAATGGATATAGGGGATCTATTCTGCCCAGGAATCCCCACAAATCCCATGATGGGTACATGAAGAACCTGAGCAGCAACGGATATAGGGGATCTATTCTGCCCAGGAATCCCCACAAATCCCATGCTGGATTCATGAAGAACCTGAGCAGCAATGGATATAGGGGATCTATTCTGCCCAGGAATCCCCACAAATCCCATGATGGGTACATGAAGAACCTGAGCAGCAATGGATATAGGGGATCTATTCTGCCCAGGAATCCCCACAAATCCCATAATGGGTTCATGAAGAACCTGAGCAGCAATGGGTATTGGGGATCTATTCTGCCAAGGAATCCCCACAAATCCCATGCTGGATTCATGAAGAACCTGAGCAGCAATGGGTATAGGGGATCTATTCTGCCCTGGAATCTCAAAGAGTATCTGAGTTTAGACTTGAGCTAGGAGCATCACCTGAAAAGCATCTGTTTGAGCAGTCTGTTGGCTGTACACACGCGTGGCTTGCGGCCTGTGTTGAGTCGGTGCAGCTCCAGCTGGGACGAGATCATCTGAGTCGTCATCTCTGTGTCAGCTGCCGTTCCTGCACCACAACAGCTGAGCAACAACAAACATATCAGTTACAGTACTACACCTTGTACAGCAACAAAGATATCAGCTACAGTACTTCCCCTGCCCAGCAATAAAGACATCAGTTACAGTACTACACCTTGTACAGCAACAAAGACATCAGTTACAGTACTTCCCCTGCCCAGCAAAAAAGACATCAGTTACAGTACTACACCTTGTACAGCAACAAAGACATCAGTTACAGTACTTCCCCTGCCCAGCAAAAAAGACATCAGTTACAGTACTACACCTTGTACAGCAACAAATACATTAGTTACAGTACTACACCTTGTACAGCAACAAAGACATCAGTTACAGTACTTTACCTCGCCCAGCAATAAAGACATCAGTTACAGTACTACACCTGGCCTAGCAACAAATACATTAGTTACAGTACTACACATTGTACAGCAACAAAGACATCAGTTACAGTACTACACCGGGCCTAGAAACAAAGATATCAGTTACAGTACTACACCTTGCCTAGCAACAAAGACATCAGTTACAGTACTACACCTGGCCTAGCAACAAAGACATCAGTTACAGTACTACACCTGGCCTAGCAACAAAGACATCAGTTACAGTACTACACCTGGCCTAGCAACAAAGATATCAGTTACGGTACTACACCTTGCCTAGTAAAAACGACAGTTACAGTACTACACCTTGCCTAGCAACAAAGACATCAGTTACAGTACTACACCTTGCCAAGCAACAAAGACATCAGTTACAGTACTACACATGGCTTGCAACAAAGACATCAGTTACAGTACTACACTTTGCCCAGCAACAAAGACATCAGTTACAGTACTACACTTTGCCTAGCAACAAAGACATCCGTTACAGTACTACACCTGGCACAGCAACAAAGACATTAGTTACAGTACTACACCTTGTACAGCAACAAAGACATCAGTTACAGTACTACACCTTGCCTAGTAAAAACGACAGTTACAGTACTACACCTTGCCCAGCAACAGGACATCAGTTACAGTTCTACATCTGGCCTAGCAACAAAGACATCAGTTACTGTACTACACCTTGCCCAGCAACAAAGACATCAGTTACAGTACTACACCTGGCCTAGCAACAAAGACATCAGTTACAGTACTACACCTTGCCCATCAAAAGATATTGGTTACAGTTCTACACCTTGCCCAGCAACAAAGTTATCAACAGTTATCAGTGAGTGATAATCTCCACAGGGACCACAGTTCCAGTACTCACTAAATGTTAGAGGAGATGAAATGTATTTTGGCACAGTTCTTGTCTGCAACCACAGTGTCCTCTGTTGCCCTTGTATCTGCACCCAACACAACGCCATCCTGTAAACAGATAACACACAGGATAACATGAGAGAACACAATTCACACCAGTCTGTGCTGAACACTTTTGAGTCTACAAGCCTGACCTTGGCTTTAGAACACAGCTTGTATTGGCTGAACTTTCTACTAGACAGAGAGACAATTTACAATTGGCACTACTGACTTTTGACTAGGGAAAACAATATGTATGCAATGCATTCATGAAAGCGTCAGAAGGCAGACATGGTATAGCATAGGTATAATACCTGCATGTACAATTTGCAGGTGTGTGACGTCACTTACCTTGAAGACAACACCACAAATAGTTGTTCCTGTTTTGTAAACCTTGGGAGCCTTGAACCCTTGGTTTTCTAACATCAAGTTCCTGCAAGAAACAAGAACGTCATATTATCTGTTATCAAGGTAATTATGGTTATGTCTATATTCACGGATGTTTTATTTTCACTTTGCTCTCGGTTCTTTTCATTGGAGCATTTTGTAGAGCTGTATCTAAAAAGTTTTTAAAACATGTTGCTTGCAACTGCACATGTCAACTTAGTAAGGCAGCAGCAGACACTAACAATTTAAGTCCACTAGTCCTTATAATGGAAACATATAGAAAACCCCATAAAAATAGCAAATTTCTACTGGTCCTTAGGACATGTAGGATACCTTTACTATTGGGCAGTTTGGCAAGGACTATGGGACTAGTGCCAATTTCTAACACCGTAAGGTAGTTGAAAATGACTTTTTGTGTATTACTACACTAATGGCAATGTTTCATGGTGGTCAAAGAATGGGAAAGAATGGGACATGCAATTTCTTTATTGGTAATTATTGCAATGGTTTTTAAATTGTAATATATTCTTTCACAAGTATTTTAGTAAATGTTGTTTTCAGGGGCCAAAGTTAAGGAAAATACCATATGTAATGAGGTTGTCAAAAGGCATTACTTCTCAATCTCAGAGATATTTTTCAATGATAATGTTTAATTTTCTATTTTTATCAATATAATAGTCTTACCCCTACCCTTAGCCAAACCTAACGATCGGAGAGACGAACCAGAGCACAGACAAGTGAGAAGTACAACTGGAGCAAATTAGCGCTATATAGGTGCAACCCATAAACAGCAGTCTTCCGGTCATATCTTTTCGTAGCAAATACTATATATTTATGAAATCAAACCGAATTGTTTACCAAGTCAGAAAAATAGCAAACATAACCGGCTAAAGATGACAATGCAACATGGCTAAAATCTGTCTACTCATGTTCAGATGCTTACTTACAGAACTAAAAGAACAAGAACCGAAGAATACTTTCTTGAGTTAACCCACACGCTGATAGAATTATAGTACGGTATTACTCATATATATTCTTATATTGTTTCCTTACAAACCTTTTGCAGTTTTCAAAAGAAAACCCTCCTTGGGGCAACTCTGTAGCTAAAGCGGCGGCCATGTTTCTGAAACACTAACACCGGAGAATACGCTTTTTAACAATTTCATTGGCTGAATATTTCTAGTACTCCTTACGAAAATACTTGTCAACTCTCAACAGCGCCACTAGCTCCCGCGTATGAACTCCACGCAGATAAACAGCCAGACGGGGTGCAGAGGTGCAATCACGAGAAGCGGAGGTTTCAAATGCTGGTATTAAATACTTGTCAAGGTGAATGCAAAGTATCTCTACGTTCGTTTTTAATCTGTTAAAATGCCCAGTCGTGACAGAAGTAGAATATCGGTGTATCTACTTTTTACCATGACTGCCACAAGGATTGGCGCATGTCATATTTTGAAACTCAAACAAAGATGCCCCTTGATATTTTTGACAGGATTATCCTGTAAGTAATCACAATCACCTTTCTAAAATAATTCACTTTTAACCCACTTTTAACATCAAGCAAAAAACATATGCCATTTTTGAAAGATTTTGACATGCCTTCAGTGAAAACAATGACACAAACGAGCATTCATCTAAAACACCATTAATGTAACAGTAATTACCCCCCTCGACTGTTAATGTAACACTTTAATGATAGAATGTCAACACCCCGTGCCGTTTTTTAGGTATGGTAAACTATTTATTTCATTTTCATTGGTGTTTTGACAAGTTCACTGTGATTAACTTCTTTGAACAATAGCCGGGGCAGTGGGGTAGCCAGCATTGCGGTTTGTGTGTGTGTGGTGTCACCGTGTGGTGTGTGTGTGTGTGTGTTTTTTTTGTTTAATGGCGCACTCAGCTTATTCCAGCTATATGACGGCTGTCTGTAAATAATCAAGTCTGGACCAGACAATCCAGTGATTGACATCATGAGCATTGATCCACACAATTGAGATCTCATGTATCAACCAAGTCAGCAAGATCCTGTTAGTCGCATCTTACGACAAGCCTTTTACAGCCCACCAGCCTAGTGGTTAAAGGGGCACTTCCTAGCTATCTAACACTGCCAACTTGGATGCACTAGCAGCTGTTAGTCGATTTTCTTGCAAACGCAACTGAGCGAGATTGGGCTACCATCCGCTAGGACCGCATAAATAAACGTTGAGGCCATATCTATAATCATGCCTGGAAACTGATTTCTGAACTTTGATCTTTGAAGATTTCAATACAGTATTACAAAAGGCGTATGTTAATTAATTTCTCCAACCTAAACAAACTGAAAAAAACAAACAATGGAAGCTCATCGGATGTTATTTGGAGATATCACTGATGGTTATAGTTATAAAAAAAATATCCCTGCAGTGAAAGCATTTTTGGGTTTCAGATTGCGTATTTTTCAGAAATATGATTACTACTCCCTTGTTGTCATCCATGTTTACTGGTATAACCCTACACCTGTGCATTTGTCGTCATTCACTTGATGCTCAATTAATGAATTTATTACTGGTATAGTTAGTAGTAGCACCATTCAGATTGCCTTACAAAGGTTCCTAAAGCAGACAGAATACACCCATACCAGGGCATGAAGTGCTGATGTGAAAACAACACACTTTGTTCAAAGGATTAACTGATAATACGTTGATTGATAGCTCACGCAATGGATTTCTTTAAAGAACTGTGGACATCATGAAAATAGTTGTCACATGTGCTATCTCAGCTGACCAATGAGATTTGTCACCTGCGTGAAACTTGTGAAACAAACGTATGTGATCAGTTGAGATACGAACAAGAGTTATAATATCCAGAAATGCCAATATATTTTAGAATATATCAGATTGTTACAAAGACATGTGACATCGAACTTTGTACACCTGCTGATGTATTGGATATTGTTCCTTTATGTGGATATTGACAAATGCATTCCTCGAACAAGGTAATTCCTTAATATTATACATATAACTTTGGTCGGCTGTAATTGCTATATTTGCATTTTGTTTTCTCTCATTTGCTGTAGTGGGCCAGACAACAGTAAGTCGTTGTTTTCTCAAGCCTAAATATTTCAGTCATTTTACGAACTGACTGAAACAAGTCTCCATTTATTATCCCCCGCCACAAAGTGGAAGGGGGATATAGGAAGGGGTGCTGTCCGTCCGTCCGTCACATTTCGTTTCCGGAGCAGATCTTGAAAACCGTACCATATTTCTTCACCAAACTTGATCTAGTTGTGAACTGGTGCCTTTTGATAGTTTGGGATTTAATTTTTTTTTATTTTTTGAGTTTCCATGGCAACGACTTTGATTTAGACTGAAAATGGTGGTAGTCCTCGTTTCCGGGGCAGATCTTGAAAACCGTACCACATTTCTTCACCCAACTTGGCACCTAGGTAGATCTAGTGGTGAACTGGTGCCTTTTGATAGTTTGGGATTTGAATTTTTTTTTTTCGTGTTTCCATGGCAACGAATTTGTTTTACACTGAAAATGGCGATAGTCCTCGTTTCCAGAGCAGATCTTGAAAACCATACTATATTTCTTCATCAAACTTGGCACATAGATAGGTCTAGTGGTGAACTGGTGTCTTTTGATAGTTTGGGATTTAATTTTTTATTTTTTTTTTAGTTTCCATGGCAGCGACTTTGATTTAGACTGAAAATGGCGGTAGTCCTCGTTTCCGGAGCAGATCTTGAAAACCGTATCATATTTCTTCACCATACTTGGCACATAGATAGGTCTAGTGGGGAACTGGTGCCTTTTGATAGTTTGGGATTTTTAAAAAAAAAGTTATTTTTCGAGTTTCCATGGCAACGGCTTTGATTTAGACTGAAAATGGCGGTAGTCCTCGTTTCCGGAGCTGATCTTGAAAACCCTACCATATTTCTTCACCAAACTTGGCACATAGATAGGTCTAGTGGTGAACTGGTGTCTTTTGATAGTTTGGGATTTAAATTTTTTGTTTTTTTGTTTCAATGGCAACCAAACTTAGCACATAATGTCATCTCACAGTATTGAATACATTTCCTTTTCTTGTTGGTAAGTTCTACATTGCTTGAGTGTATGTTCCTCCAAAAAATGTCATGGTCACAGTTGTTGTATTCACTGACTAACTTCATGCAGAAACACAACTCATTACAAATACAACAGTGTAACTGATCTTAAACCTACTCAACTGTATAAACACTATATATTCTTGTCAACCATACTCTGTACTTCACTTGCTTGATAACGGTGTTAGAATCTACACTGAAACCATCGCTCCTAATTGTAATATAGAAGTTGTTCGTCCATATGTCTCATCCATACTCATTACAAATACAGTTACGTATTCTATCATAATCTGCAGATGGCAAAACAACACCAGTAATAACTTTTTTAGTGCTGCAATTAGGCCATTACTAAAGGTCCAGTGAACATAGTTCACAGGAGCTAATGCATTGCACACAACCAGACATGCTTAATAACTTGACAATAGACTAATTATGCAAGGGATCCGGGGTAGAACTGGTCTTCAGCCACCCATGCTTGTCGTAAAAGGCGACTAACGTGATCGGGTGGTCAGGCTCACTGACTTGGTTGATGCATGTCATCGATCCCAATTGCGTGGATCGATGTTCATGATGTAAATCACTGGATTGTCTGGTCCTGACTTGATTATTTACAGACCGCCGTCATATAGCTGGAATATTGCTGTGTGCGGCGTAAAACAACAAACCAAAAACAACAAAAAATTATGCAAGGATTAGAAGCCCCAAAATATAGAAATGTACTTTGACTTTCATTTTCTTTTGACAAGATTTGTAATAAATAAACAACATTTTCTCCAGAATGTCCCTGACTACGTCTGAGACCAGGACGCTGCAGTACCTACTGCAGGTGTCCAAACCTGCCCACAATCCACTGGTGACTGTAGCTGGGCTCACGGCCATCTTTGAGTTTGTCAAGTCCACATATGACTGGAAGGTTGTGCAGTACCTGTTGGAGGAGGGCCTGGCCGATGTACTGGTCAGCTGTCTGGACACCTGGACGCCGGGGGGCAAGAACCAGGACATACATGGTGTTCTCGTGATGCTCGCGTTGAAAGTCACCCACCACCTTGCATCCATGTCTCCACTTGTTCTGCGCCCGCTGATGACAGTCAGATTTTACACATCCCTACTTCAATTGACAGACACCAAAGGAGACTTTTTCAGATTCTCTTGTGAGTTTCAGGAAATGTTTTCCCTCTTAACACGGGGAAAACAGCTGATAGCAAATGTTGTCATGGAAACAGTTGGCGGAGATGTTAAACAACATCTTGGAAACATCCTGAAATATCCCATAGACCTGCCTGGACGTATCTACAGGTGCAGCTGCTTCGACACCAGTGGTGAGACGGACGTCAACATCACACAGCAGCTGATGAGCAAAGGTCTGGCCTGGCCCACCTTAAATATCCAGGGAGGAGAACTGAAGGACTGGAAGGACGTGATTGTCACCGAGCATCTCAGGGATCAGTACTTCTATGCTCTTCTTGGTGAGGCGGCAATTAGGCAGGCAGCTGCCATTAAGTCCCTCATAGAAAATGTGAAGGGTGATCTACATGTGGCAGCCATCGAGGTTGGAAAGATTGTGCTCATGGTTGTTGTTCGAGATGGGCAGCTGGAACATGTCCGAGGTCAGGTTGTCAGCTATGTTGGAGAATGGGTGAAGGCGACGATGTTGGAGTACGGAGGGGTGAGGGAAGTTCGGCTGAAGAATGTTTTTGAGTTGCCATCTGCTCTCAGCCTCATGTACTTCCCTGCCCAGACTTCCCTGTGCTACTTGGCAGGTAAGTTGTCGTGGCAACACATTCGCTCTTAAATATATGGAACCAGTACTAATGTACTGGAGCTTGTCATATCAATAAGTAGTTGTTAATGTCATGACAGAATTCTAAACCCATTATTCATGTTATAAACAAGAATGCAGTAGCAACCTTTTCGATAAATGTAATGTTAGCAAGTGATTCTTCATATTGTGACATATTCTTCAGTATTGTTTCAAACCTTGTGTTATGTTTTAGACCCTTCATAACAAACTGCAGATCTTCCATAACGAACAGATTGATGCCATGAAATATATGTAAATATTCACACACTTCTGATAACAAGTATTTGTCGTTAACTTGCTGTGGTTGTGCAGGTGTGCAAGCCCCGCCCAGTGATGTATACACTCTGCAGCTGGCCTTAGCATCCATGTGTAACCTCATCCGCTACTGTGTCGCATCAGGTGAGTGACCTCATCCCCTACTGTGTCGCAGCAGGTAACTTCATCTGCTACTGTGTCATGGCAGGTAACTTCATCTGCTACTGTGTGGCATCAGGTAAGTAAGCTCATCTGTTACTGTGTCGCAGCAGGTAACTTCTCCTGCTACTGTGTCGAGGCAGGTAACTTCATCTGCTACTGTGTGGCATCAGGTAAGTAAGCTCATCTGTTACTGTGTCGCAGCAGGTAACTTCTCCTGCTACTGTGTCGAGGCAGGTAACTTCATCTGCTACTGTGTGGCATCAGGTGAGTAAACTCATCTGTTACTGTGTCGCAGCAGGTAACTTCATCTGCTACTGTGTCGAGGCAGGTAACTTCATCTGCTACAGTGTGGCATCAGGTGAGTAAACTCATCTGTTACTGTGTCGCAGCAGGTAACTTCATCTGCTACTGTGTCGAGGCAGGTAACTTCATCTGCTACTGTGTGGCATCAGGTGAGTAAACTCATCTGTTACTGTGTCGCATCAGGTAACTTCATCTGCTACTGTGTCGAGGCAGGTAACTTCATCTGCTACTGTGTGGCATCAGGTGAGTAAACTCATCTGTTACTGTGTTGCATCAGGTAACTTCATCCGCTACTGTGTACCATCAGGTGAATAACTTCATCAGCTGCTTTGCTTTATATCAAAGCAGTTTCAGGAGCTTCCATGAAATGTCCCCTTGTTTTCAGGGTTGACTTTGTTGAAGACTGGTTGTTTGACATACTTGCTGCCAGTCCTGCGCTGCCCAGACTCCAGCCTGGTGCTACAGACTCTCCGCATCCTCAACAACCTCGCCACCAACCCCCACACCGACAAGACTGTATTTGAACCAGTTCTCCATGACCTACTTGGTGAGTAGGCCAACTCTCAATCTGTACCACCTTCTGTATCACCCTAAATCCCAGATGTATAGACACACACACACTGTACTACCTTTTGTGCCACCCTGTGCCACTTTCTGTATCACCTGTACCACCTGTGTCACCTGTCCCACCTTCTGTATCACCTGTACTACCTTCTGTATCACCTGCACCTCTTTCTGTATCACCTGTACCACCTTCTGTATCACCTGTACCACCTTCTGTATCACCTGTACCACCTTCTGTATCACCTGCACCTTTCTGTATCACCTGCACCTTTCTGTATCACCTGTACCACCTTCTGTATCACCTGTACCACTTTCTGTATCACCTGTACCACCTGTGTCACCTGCACCACCTTTTGTAGCACCTGCACCACCTTCTGTATCACCTATACCACCTTCTGTATCACCTGTATCACCTTCTGTATCACCTATACCACCTTCTGTATCACCTGTACCACCTTCTGTATCACCTGTACCACCTTCTGTATCACCTGTACCACCTTCTGTATCACCTGCACCACCTTCTGTATCACCTGCACCACCTTCTGTGTCACCTGCACCACTTTCTGTATCACCTGTACCACCTTCTGTATCACCTGCACCACCTTCTGTATCACCTGCACCACCTTCTGTATCACCTGCACCACCTTCTGTATCACCTGTGCAACCTTCTATATCATCTGTGCCACCTTCTGTATCACCTCTGACACCTTCTATATCATCTGTGCCACCTTCTGTATCATCTGTATCACCTTCTGTATCATCTGTGCCACCCTCTGTATCACCTGTGCCACCTTCTGTATCATCTGTGCCACCTTCTGTATCACCTGTACCACCTTCTGTATCATCTGTGCCACCTTCTGTATCACATGCACCACCTTCTGTATCACCTGTCCCACCTTCTGTATCACCTGTCCCACCTTCTGTATCATCTGTGCCACCCTCTGTATCACCTGTGCCACCTTCTGTATCATCTGTGCCACCTTCTGTATCACCTGTACCACCTTCTGTATCATCTGTGCCACCTTCTGTATCACCTGCACCACCTTCTGTATCACCTGTCCCACCTTCTGTATCACCTGTACCACCTACCACTGTAAGTTACAGCACTGTGCCACCTTCTGTATCACCTGTGCTACCTTCTGTATCATCTGTTCCACCTTCTGTATCACCTGTACCACCTTCTGTATCACCTGTACCACCTTCTGTATCACCTGTACTAACTTCTATATCACCTGTATCACCTTCTGTATCACCTGTACTACCTTCTGTGTCACCTGCACCACTTTCTGTATCACCTGTACCACCTTCTGTATCACCTGTACCACCTTCTGTATCACCTTTTCTACCTTCTGTATCACCTGTACCACCTTCTGTATCACCTGTACTACCTTCTGTATCACCTGTACCACCTACCACTGTAAGTTACAGCACTGTGCCACCTTCTGTATCATCTGTTCCACCTTCTGCATCACCTGTACCACCTTCTGTATCACCTGTACCACCTTCTGTATCACCTGTACTACCTTCTGTATCACCTGTATCACCTTCGGTATCACCTGTACTACCTTCTGTGTCACCTGCACCACCTTCTGTATCACCTGTACCACCTTCTGTATCACCTTTTCTACCTTCTGTATCACCTGTATCACCTTCTGTGTCACCTGCACCACTTTCTGTATCACCTGTACCACCTTCTGTATCACCTGTACCACCTGTACCACCTACCACTGTAAGTTACAGCGCTGTACCACCTTCTGTATCACCTGTACCACCTTCTGTATCACCTGCACCACCTTCTGTATCACCTGCACCACCTCTTCTGTACATTGTGTTATTTTGTGGTTAGGGGTGGTCGGGTAGCCTAGTGGTTAAAGCGTTCGCTCGTCTCGCCGAAGATTCAGGTTCGATTCTCGACATGGGTACAATGTGTGAAGCCCATTTCTGGTGTCCCCCGCCGTGATATTGCTGGAATATTGCTAAAAGCGGCGTAAAAACCAAACTCACTCACTACTTTGTGGTTCAGTTGTAAGTACAAGGGAGAGATTCAGCTGCTGCTGGCTGTGTTCACTTAGCTTGTGTTGTACTGGCTTGTCAGGGTGAAGCCCAAGTTTCCAGACCACTAGCATGGTGACTTCACAGCTGATGGCCTTAACGTTTGCTTCATGTTGGTGGTTGTAGAGCTGTTGAGGAGTGTTCCAGACCACTAGCATGGTGACTTCACAGCTGATGGCCTTAACGTTTGATTCATGTTGGTGGTTGTAGAGTTGTTGAGGAGTGTTCCAGACCACTAGCATGGTGACTTCACAGCTGATGGCCTTAACGTTTGCTTATGTTGGTGGTTGTGGGGTGTTGAGGAGTGTTCCAGACCACTAGCATGGTGACTTCACAGCTGATGGCCTTAACGTTTGCTTATGTTGGTGGTTGTAGAGTTGTTGAGGAGTGTTCCAGACCACTAGCATGGTGACTTCACAGCTGATGGCCTTAACGTTTGCTTCATGTTGGTGGTTGTAGAGCTGTTGAGGAGTGTTCCAGACCACTAGCATGGTGACTTCACAGCTGATGGCCTTGTTTGCTTCATGTTGGTGGTTGTAGAGCTGTTGAGGAGTGTTCCAGACCACTAGCATGGTGCCTTCACAGCTGATGGCCTTAACGTTTGCTTCATGTTGGTGGTTGTAGAGCTGTTGAGGAGTGTGCCTGACAAGGGTTGGAGCGTCAACGTGAGGGAGGACACCAGCTACACCTGCATGTCCTGCATCGCCAACATCCTCACTTTCTCCAGACACTACCGCTCGGTCTTCTACCAGAACGAGGGTCAGTCAGACACGTTAAAGTATCCTGGTTTGAAGAGATATAATGGAATGGGTGTTTTCTTGTGAAAAGGAGTGACCAGTTGATACTGTAGGGGGGAAGGAGGGAAGGAGGGGGGATGCATGAGAAAAATAATTATAATTCAGACTTGTGAAACAAAAAGTAAGTCTGCCACAAAGAATACATTGTTGCCAGTTTAAGATAAAATTAGCCTCCTACTTTTAATAATATTTGACTTTGCAACTGTGAGCTGTAGCTGAAAACTATCCACTTACTTACTTTGGATATTTAACGTGCGCTTTCCGACTGATGCGTATTTCGCACACGGGCCCGGCCAGGCCATTTAATGTGTTTCCGAAAGGGGCGAAAGTGGTCTGTGCAACCCAAGAGGGGGGTTTTAGGGGTTGCTTATATAGAATTTGGGAATTTTGAGATTTGGAATAGATGCCGATGGGATTGGGGAGGAGAACTAAGGGAGCTGGGTATGGTGGATGTTTGTTTGTTTATGTGATTTTGATTTGGTAGGTTATTGTGTTTTTAGATGCGTTTTATTAGTTCCGTTTTTATTTAGAATACGCCTAAGGCCTTGAAGTTTTCTAGTTTATTTTGTGGGTTTAGTATTGCTTCTAGAGTTAGAGCCTTGTTTAGATTGAGGGTGGTTTGTAATGCGGTTCGATGTGTTAGGTAGTGTGTGCAGTGGATGAGTGCGTGTTCTGGGGTTTCTGGTTGTTTGCAGTGTGGGCAGTTACCTGTAGTGTGTTTTTTAAAAATATCCAGTTCCCGTTTCCATAAAATACCAGACATCCATCCCACCACTGGTTAGAATACTGTACATCTGGAAATTAATGCGTCTCCAATTTAATATGACTGCTGAACCTTAGCCAAAAATGTGACTCAATATCAATGCGACTCCCACCCCGTCCCTAATTGAATGATACATCCTTACCTTAATCCAATCAAATAGCACAGCTTATTAGGGCTGAGTTGAGCCCTTCTGTAAAAACAATAAGCATGTTTTCCTAAAAACATCACACAGTTTATATGTTTACCCTGTTGACTGGCACTAAGGAAGTTCAAAGGCAATAAGATTATTGAATCAACAACAGTTCACTGATAGGTATGCGGAGTAGGTGTCAACAAGCTTGACATGAGTGGGTACAACTCTTGACCCCAGCAGTGATAACTCACCGGATGCCCATTGTGTAATTCCTATTTTTTGAAGGACATTGTTATATACTTGTTACAACTGCTGCTACGCAAAGTGTGCATCTTATTGTTGATAGTCATTTGGAGACATAAATGCATAGATGATTAATGCGAGCAAAGACCACTCGCGTTTTTCCCATAGCTCACGTTAATTTCAAGATTTACAGTATAAGCCCATCACTTGAATGCATGTCGTGAGAGGCAACTAAATTTGATCAGGTTCAGGCTGGGTGAGTTAATTGCGTGTCATAGTTCCCAGTGTGGTATGTTGCTCATTATAATATAATTGTCTGTTTGTTTGTTTGTTTGTTGTTTAACGCCGCACTCAGCAATATTCCACCTATATGACGGCGGTCTGTAAATAATGGAGTCAAGACAATCCAGTGATTGACGATATGAGCATCGATCAACGCAATTGGGATACGATGACATGCATCAACCAAGTCAGCCAGCCTGACCACCCGATCCCGTTAGTCGCCTCTTACGACAAGCATTGTTGCCTTTTATGGCAAGCATGGGTTGCTGAAGACCTGTTCTACTCGGATCTTCACGGTCTTGCTGATAATAACAGCCACTAAAGTACTCATGGAAATGAAAAAAACCTGTTTTTCTGGATTTAATAATCGACACAAAGCATTACGTAGATGTAAATACGAAATAACAAAACAACTGGAAAAGTACTAGTCTAGATTTGCTAGTTTTATCTCAGTGCTCAATACAAAATGTACTTTACAGGAGGTAATTTGTAGGCACTTTCAACATTCAAAAATAAAACTAAGTCCAAATTGACATGGCAGAAACAGGCTATAGGCATTATGCAAATTAGCCTGGAAAAAAAGTTATCAAAACAACAATAAAAAAAACAGCTATGTTGAGTATTGATTACAGTCACACAATCACAGAGTCAATGGTATCAGTATTGAAAGAATTGATAATATTAAATTACCTGTCAGGTCTAAACTGTTAACCAAGGTCAGTCAATAAGTCAATAAATAAAGTAAAAATTCTGTCTTGCAGATTATATTTTTTTCTTCAGTTTCTCCATAGTAAGAATGTCATATTTATCTGTTTGGGCCAGTTACTAAGAATACATTGCTTCTCAAGATTTTTTTTTAAGAACTGTATGGGTTATGGGAAAGAGGGTTTTAAGTTCCTATATTGTATTTCTTTGATAGGATACAAATCTATGTAAGTAAACTGTTTTTACTGAACAATGTCGCTGTTTGGCCACGCCCTTTTGGCTCTATGTCTGAATGTCATGTCAAAAACACAATCGAAAAAAAACTCTTTTCATAACAATGTTAAGAAGTTGGAAGAAAATGAAGACATGAAATATTTTAGCCGTAACAAAATCTTTATTGCTTGAAACAATGTGCTTAAAAATAAAATATTAAAAGTAGGACAGTTTTACAGAGGGCGCTGTTTGAGAGAAACAAGACATTCTGATTGACAAGTCATATGTGACCCAGTATACAGTGACACGATGTACTTGAATGTTTAAGTAGCAGACAGTAGATATGTGCAGGCCTCAAAGACAGGATCATCAGATATAGCCAGATTGAAAAAATAAAGTAATGATTTTTATATTGTTACTGTATTTAGCAACATTGTGGGTGGGTGATTTGCAGGTCAGTCTGTATTTTCATTCATTATCTAGCTTATAGCCACTTGAACAGAAACTTTATAAGTTCGAACTTGACTTGAGAGGTCATGAATGTAAGAATGTATGTTTGCTTAAAACTTATGCAAGCATCATTGACAGATTTATAATGGGAGGGATACTCTGTTTAAATTATTTGAAAATAAATGTTAAATTGGAAAATAAATAACCCTTAGGTGGATCTAGAGGGGGGCCAGGGGTCTGCCCCCTCCCCTTTTGAAAACCAAGTGTAGTTTGTTGTAGGCAGTAAAATTGACTGAGAGAGGATTTTTATATTTTCGACCCCTTTTAAAAATGCTGGATCAATCTTTGTAACTCCTAGTGTATGTTCACTGAAATATACTTTGTCGATACAACAGGTACACATGTCAACCATGACAATACATCTGTATGCCAATCAGTATGTCCGAACAGTAGATCAACCTTGTATAATCACAAGCAAGGTACCGCTATTAACGACCACTCTCGCGACCAAGGCTCAACAACCGACTCAATGCAGCACTATCAGTCAATCATAATTCAATACCCAATTCCTCCATTGACAAGGTACAGTTAATCATAGAGAGGGCGTGTGACACCGAGGTTGATAGCAGTAGGTTTTGAATGTAATAGCATGTTCTCTCTGGCTATTGAGAGTTGTCAATTGCCTGGTATTGTCGGTAGCGTGGGGTGTCGGCATGGGGTAGTCAATATATGAAGTTGGTTTTAACTGTTGGTGTATGTGGTTTCGCTGGGTACTGAATCACTGGGTCTGTGCTGTACTGGAGGGAAGATCTTGTGTCAGTGAGGTCATAACGATAAACTCTTTTCCAATTGCTTCTTTACAATGTGTAGTCATAGCTTCATTGTGAAGCCTTCACATATACTATCAGTGCTACAACAATGGAGTCTCCTTGACTGAACTTGTCTCTTCACTGACTTCATGGGGGGCCAGTTGTTTAAGGTGCCGTAATTCGCTGTGCAGAGTTGCATCCCTTAGGAACACCAGAAACCTATGATCGTGGTTTCGAATCACGGGTCAACTTCATGTGTGTAGTAGGCAAAGAAATAAGTTCACGGAACCCACAAGCAATACTTGAGTAATTCCGTTACTCTATTGTGTTTGTGATTCAGTATTCTAGTGTACACGGTCTATGCAGTGTTAGAAATTGGCACTAAAGTACTCATGGAAATGAAAAAACCCTGTTTTGCTGGATTTAATAATCGACACAAAGCATTAGGTAGATGTAAATACGAAATAACAAAACAACTGGAAAAGTACTAGTCTGGATTTGCTAGTTTTATCTCAGTGCTCAATACAAAATGTACTTTACAGGAGGTAATTTGTAGGCACTTTCAAATTAAAGTAAAAATAACAGCTATGTTTATGTACATAATAATAATGACATGTAAGTTGTTGTTTGAGAAGGGAATATGTTACTTTTACGTTCTGATATTTTGACGATGATTCACTATCCCACAATGCCACTCACAAATCACTAACCACTGACAAATCACATGCACGTGGGTTACAAGCACCTGTTTTCACCTGTCGTCAAGGTGTCATAGGTCATGGACATTCACCTTGTTCTACTAGCACCTGGTTATGCTCAGTTTCACAATAGTCTGTTTTGTTCATATTTTTACACACTTTTACGTGTAAAAAGACATAAAAACCTTTGATACGCTGTATTTGTGCCAAGGCCCAATTAGTACTAATTGAGTTGTTTGAATATTTATATATTGTGTATATTAACTTGCATTTATTTAAAATCTGAGATCGAAAAAACAGTTTTTTTTCATTTCCCTGAGTACTTTAGTGCATTTGGCCCAAAACGTTCATACATGTGTAGGGTATTCTTTGTACACTTAAGTCCTAGTGGCTTCTCTTTCCTGCAGGATTGTCAACTGTACTACGAATCATGGTGTGCTACAAACCATTCAGACCCGTTTACAAGATGGGCACTCAGCTTTTGCGCAACTTCCTGTATGTGACAGAGGTGAAGGCCACACAGCGAGGAACCCCAGATGGTGTTGAGGCCCCAAAGGCTGACACGTGAGAGGACAGATTAGTGATGATGAAGTATTTTTCCTTCTCATGTGCGACTTAGACTTTATTAAACAAATGCTGTGTTGGTGAAAAAAAAGAGATACAGTTTATATGAATGCCTATTGTACCACTGTGCAGATTTGCGTCCCCTGGGCACACAGGAAATATATGGTTGTTGGTACAAATCAAATCCCCGTTCGCCCCGATTATATGTCTAGGTTTGTTAGCACCATACCCGTGCTCTTGGGTTACGTCAAAGTGGTAAAGGCCCGAGACCTGTACACTTTCCTCTAACAGTAAGCTGGACTGACATTTAGTCTCAGAAATAAAATTATTGTATTTAAAAATATACATCTATTAAATAGATAAATAAAATCCAAATGGAGTCGAGAATAATGCTTAATTTCAGGAGCTGAAGCAGTCTAGACTTGCCCAATCATCCTAGACTTGAGTTAGACTCCTTTCTTAATTTGTTCTTTTGGGTCTGGGAGACAGACTGACAGTTAGCTGACACACCATGATATGACTGGAATATAAAACCCCACTCACTCACTCATTCACCCAATAGAGAGACCATTTAAATATGCAATGTCACTTCAAGGAATTAGTCTCATGTGGCTGCCATTTCCTTCCATATTTACAGTAGGGGCAGTCAGGTAGTCTAGTGGTTAAAGCGTTCACTCGTCACGCTGAAGACCCAGGTTCGATTCCTGACGTGGGTACAATGTGTGAAGTCCATTTCTGGTGTCCCCCGTCGTGATATTGCTGGAATATTGCTAAAAGCACCGTAAAACCATACTCACTCACTCACTCATATTTACAGTTAACTACGATTATAACCAACTCAAAGGGACCACTAATTTTAGTTAGTTATAACCGTGGTTCGTTATTAGCATTCATACAGCATAACTACAGCAAATTTAAGGGACAAAAGTAAATTCATTATAGCCATCAGTTCATTATTAGCATGTTCGTTATAAACATAGTTGACTGTCGTATGTACCATACTGTATTGAAGGAAATAATTTTGAAATTTAATTTAATTAGTAGTGACAGTTCATCATATGTTTATAATAATAATGAATATTGTTCCAGATTCATACTTTTGTTTTATTAGCAACAATTACGTAATTTAATTCCCGCAGAAGACGGCGTGTTTCCCTTTTGCAAAAGCTAGAAAATGTTGATGAAAACCCGGAAGTTAAAATGTGGTTGACATTGTTTATGAGTTACATTTGAATGATTCCCTCACGGTTTTCAAATTTTATGGACCCATCTGGAATCAAACTCAATTCATCTTGCTGTTTGGCCACTAGAAATAGTTCAAAATTTGTAATCCTCGCATGGTGACCATTCTCTGCGAGAGGGAACAAACAGGTATCGTCTTATTTAAAGGCAAATATCTAAACTAGGATAGTCTGTGGTCTGAAAATTAAATATTGTTAAGGAGGAAGGGTTGTAGGTATACCTATTTAGAAATTGTGTATATTGTTGACTCTTGTGAAAGACTCAACATTCAGATTTGAGTATAGTTTTCTTTTTCCTAGGGTGACTGCAGGAAGCACTAGTTTGGACCAGACAAACAGTCCTCAGCGGCCGGTCACCTTCCAGGCAGAGGTGACTACATCAGTTACACAGTGTCCTGCTCTGTCTGTGTGTGTGTCTGTGCGTGTGTGAGAGTGTGAGTGAGTGTCTGTGTCTGCGTATGTGCGCGTCAGTGAATGTGGGTCTGTGCGAGTGTGGGTCTGCGTGTCTGTGTAAATGTGTGTGTGTGTCAGTCTGTCAGTGTGTGTGTCAGTCTGTCAGTGTGTGTGTCAGTGTGTGTGTTTGTGTCTGTCAGTCAGTGTGTCTGTGTAGTGTATGCATATTAGGCAGTGTATATGTGTGCCTGTGTGTATCTGTCAGTTTGTGTGTATGTCTGTCTGTCAGTCAGTTTCTTTGTATGTGCAGTGTATGCATATTGGACAGTGTTTGTGTTTGTCTGTCTGTGTGTGTGTGTTTGTGGCGCTGATAAAATACGATGCTTTTTAGAATGTCTTTTTCAAGAACCCTACGCAAGCAACAGATATTTTACGCCCGTTTCCTGGGGTTCATCCATGGGATAAAACCTTGGGGCTGATGTCTCTCGGTTTTATCCTGCAGATGCGTGTTTTGTATGTCATGAAAACCCCTGGGCGTGCTTTATCCTACACATAATGACAGTGTTTAAACCCCTCACTCCCTATTCTCCACTGTGTTACAGGACATCAGCTCTAGTGAGGAGGACGAGGGGGATACAAATGGAGGACGTCGTGCGTCCCCCACAACAGGTGCAGCATTTGTAGGTCAGCGCACGGGGGAGGTGCTGTCATGGAGGGCGGGAGGGAGGGGCATAGATGGAGGGAGGGAGGGAGGGAGGGAAGGCTTCAGAGAGGCATATTAATTGTTCTGACCAGTAATTTGTTTATTGTTTGATGAGGACAGGACCTGTGTTCACTTGAGGATTGTCTGGTTACTACTGCAACTCTTGTTACTGAAGAATTTTGACTAGGATAATTCTGATGTCATGAGCCCTGATTCAGTTGGTATACAAACTGTTACATAAGCTTCCTTCTCATTTTCAGTGATGAGGATCTTCCATGTATCCACGAATTTCCGTGAATTTTAGTGACCACAAATTTGTTAAAATCTGATGATTTCCCCCCATAAACACCTCCAAATTATGGACCACGCTTCATTGCAAAGAAGTTTGAGCTGAAAAGGAAAATATCCATTCTCATCCTTTCATGTTACCATGGTTACAGATGGTGATGTTGTGGCCATCAACTCAGGGGAGATGCAGGACACTCCAGACCAGCAGTACATCTATGGTGAGTGGTGGGCAGACTCTTCCCCTCTGTCATCTACTTCCTATGACTGGTTATATAGATGGTTTGTTTCCAAGGTGTAACAAGAAAAAGTACCTGCTTTTATCATAATTTACAACTTTCTTTTTACAATTATTCAATCCTGGTGACACTGACTCCTCTCCTCCTGGTGATGTAATACAGACTGACTCCACTCTCCTCCTGGTGACACAACACCAGACTGACTCCTCTCTCCTCCTGGTGACACAACACCAGACTGACTCCTCTCTCCTCCTGGTGACACAACACCAGACTGACTCCACTCTCCTCCTGGTCCCACTGACTCCTCTCTCCTCCTGATGACACAACACCAGACTGACTCCACTCTCCTCCTGGTGACACTGACTCCTCTCCTCCTGGTGACACTGACTCCTCTCTCCTCCTGGTGACACTGACTACTCTCCTCCTGGTGACACAACACCAGACTGACTCCTCTCTCCTCCTGTTGACACTGACTCCTCTCTCCTCCTGGTGACACAACACCAGACTGACTCCACTCTCCTCCTGGTGACACTGACTCCTCTCCTCCTGGTGACACTGACTCCTCTCTCCTCCTGGTGACACTGACTACTCTCCTCCTGGTGACACAACACCAGACTGACTCCTCTCTCCTCCTGGTGACACAACACCAGACTGACTCCACTGTTTTTATTACAGGTTCTCGGGTGGATTTCTGTAATGATGTGACACATGAAATCCGACCCCCTAAAGAGTTGTCCCAAGTCTCCGCCCTGGCCATCGCGGATGTCGCCTGTGGGATGCTGAACAGTAAGTCAGGGCATGGAGGTGAACTCATCTCTCTTTGGTTTAGATATTCATGAACACGCTTTTGCACTCACTCACTCACTCACTCACAAATTTCACTCCCCGCTCTCTTTGGTTTAAATATTCATGAACACACTTTTGCACTCACTCAATCACTCAGGGGGCACGGGTGTCCCAGTCGTCTAAGGCGCCGCGATTCGCTGTGCAGAGTTGCGTCCCTTGGGCACACCAGAAACCTATGATTGTGGGTTCGAATCCCGGTTCGCCCCGATTATGTTTCTAGGTTTGTCAGCACCATACCCGTGCTCGTGGGTTTCACCGAAGTGGTAAACGTCTGAGACCTGCATCACTTCGGGCTTTCCTCCCACATTAAGCTGACACGCCGTGATATAACTGGAATACTGTTAAAAGCGGCGTTAAACCCAACTCACTCACTCACTCACTCACTCACTCACTCACTCACTCACTCACTCACTCACTCACTCACCCACCCACCCACCCACTCACTCACCCACCCACTCACTCACTCACTCACTCACTCACTCACCCACCCACCCACCCACTCACTCACTCACTCACTCACCCACCCACACACCCACCCACCCACACACCCACCCACTTGCTCCAAGTCTTCAGTGCCTGTCCCCAGGTCGTGGTGGCTCTATCTACTTCGGTGTGTCTGAGGACCAGATTGTCCAGGGCATCAAGATTAAGCGTGAAGTCCGAGACTCCTTCCGTCTGGGTATTGATGACATGATGATTAAGCAGATCTCACCGCCTGTGTTGTACATCCAGTTTGAGCTGATTTACACGCCTGTCTTCAAGGCCACGTACAGACCCCCACCACATGACTACATCCAGGTGACAGATCTGTACATTGTAGGTGAGTACAATCAGGGGAAATCAGTTCCATCCATCTGCTTCTCAATGGGGACACCTTTTCTCAAAAACTATTTAAGTTAAAGATGTATTATTTGTCGTGATCTCAGATGAGTTAAAAAATTGATGTCTTAAATTTATGGAGTTACTGCCCTTGATCCATGTTATTTTTCTTGAATAAAACTATGCAAGCTTATCTAAGACATACAAAATAAACTGGAAGATGATTATAATCTTTGTTTAACATGAGGGGCGGTCGGGTAGCCTAGTGGTTAAAGCGTTCGGCCGTCACGCCGAAGACCCGGGTTCAATTCCCGACATGGGTACAATGTGTGAAGCCCATGTCTGGTGTCCCCCGCCGTGATATTGCTTGAATATTGCTAAAAGAGGGGTAAAATCATACTCACTCACTCATACATTTGTTTAACATTAAAGTCTTACTGAAGCAGATATTTGTACAAGTTTTATGGAGTAGATCTTGAATTCAACCTCTTCCACAAGCAGCTGGACAAACTGATAATTTAGAATGTCACATTTCATTGCACATTTTAATGTCTTTTAGATTGGACAATGGGAGGGGGATATTAATGACTACGTCTTCTTGCTCACTACTGTATGAACAAACACAGTTCTTACGTGCCCTGTGGTTTCTGGCAATTCAAGGCCCTTTTTGGGGGCACGGGTGGCCCAGTCGTCTAAGGCGCCGCGATTCGCTGAGCAGAGTTGCGTCCTTTGGGCACGCCAGAAACCTATGATTGTGGGTTCGAATCCCGGTTCGCCCCAATTATGTTTCTAGGTTTGTCAGCACCATACCCGTGCTCAGGGGGTTTCACCGAAGTGTCTGAGACCTGCGTCACTTCGGGCTTTCCTCCCACATTAAGCTGACACGCCGCGATATAACTTGAATACTGTTAAAAGTGGCGTTAAACCCAACTCACACATTCAAGGCCCTTTTCGAGCTGACTTGGGAGCGGTTGTGTAGCCAAGTGGTTAAAGCGTTCGCTCGTCATGCCGAAGACCCGACAAGGGTACAATGTGTGAAGCCCATTTCTGGTGTCCCTGCCGTGATATTGCATTAATATTGCTAAAAGCGGCGTAAAATCATATTCACTCACTGTGGTGGGGGATAACTGTTTTTTCTGTTTACAGACTACTGTGACGTAGATGTATATTTCATTATCTCCACACATATGCTTCTTGTTTGGTCTGACTGTATGAAGTCTGGAGAATTAACAACATTTCAATCGGACAAAACTTGATCCTCTTACATTGCAGAGCTCCGAATTCGACCAAGTCGAGGTACTCTCCACTCAACCAAGGACTGTCTCTACAGGTTCGGTGCCAGAACACTTCCTCTCACTATCAAGGTCAGTGTTGTGGTGGCTGATGAAGTAAGGGTGTGTTCTGTGTGCGTTGCAGGAGCTGCTTGTGCTGTGAAGATATGACCTTGAGTTTGTTTCCAGTGAGAATATGGGTGACGATATGACCTCGAGTTTGTGCCCCAGTGGGGATATGAGTGACGATATGACCTCGAGTTTGTGTCCCAGTGAGAATATGGGTGACGATATGACCTTGTGTTTGTCCCAGTGGTAATACAGGAGAACATAGTATAGTATAGTGGGGATAAAGGTAAACAATTGACCTGTTTGTGTCCCAGTGGGGATATAAGTGGCTGATGAACTTGGGTGTGTGCTGTGCCTTGACATCTTCCTGAGGCAAGAGAGTTAACTGACTTTAAAAGTCCAGTTTCCACCCTTGCCGAACTTTGCTGGAATTCCTGGGCTCGATCGTAGCGCCACCAGTGGCTATTACCAGTTATGTCCCTTCTAAGCCTCTCCTATGGACCAATTAGATGCCACCTCTCGTATCACTTGCATTTGCTTCAAACAAAATGGTGGCGCCCAGTCAAGACGATCTAATCGATAATCAAGATCTGTATTGTGATACAACGGGTACATCAAATCACGCGAGCACCTTGATTAAAAACATGAAAAGATATGGAAAATATCTGTTGACGACGAGTTGACGGTGCACATGCTTTACAAATCCTGCAATCGATCGAAATCTGCACGACAGTTTCCAAACCGGATTTCGATTCCGTTGCGTGATTTTGATTGGACTATGCAAACACTCGTTAGTCAAGCCAAAATGTAACTCCATAATACCAGCCTAGTTAGGCAAGAGTGGAAACTTGACTTTGATAGTCAGTTAACTCCCTTGCCTCGGGAAGATGTGCCTTGTAGGAGTGGTGGCTGTGAAGTAGGAGTGTGTTGTGTGTTGTAGGAGGTGAAGAAGCTAGTTGTGTCCCAGTGATGATACTGGTGAACACATGACCTCATGTTTGTGTCCCAGTAGAGATATACGTGGCTGAGGAGTTTAGGGTGTGTGTTGTGTGTTGCAGGAGGTGAGAGAGCTAGTTGTGGTAGCCGAAGAAGATGTATACAAAGAGGAAATATTCAGTCTGAGACAGAAACTGAAGAACCTGAGAGACCGGAGGCTCACATCCTGAATATACAAGTTTTATATTTGTGGACTGATCTACCCAGAGTACCTACCCCATGGATAAAGTTGTGTCCCAGTGGGGATACAGGTGAATATGTGACCTCATGTGTGTGTCCCAGTGGGAATATAGGTGAAGATGTGACCTCATGTGTGTGTCCCAGTGATGATACAGATGAAGATGTGACCTTATGTTTCCGTCCCAGTGGGGATACAGGTGAAGATGTGACCCTGTGTTTGTGTCCCAGTGGGGATGAAGGTGAAGATAAGACCTCTTGTGTGTGTCCCAGTGGGGATAGAGTTGGGGATGTGACCTCATGTGTGTGTCCCAGTGGGGATATAGGTGAAGATAAGACCTCATGTGTGTGTCCAAGTGGGGATAGAGTTGGGGATGTGACCTCATGTGTGTGTCCCAGTGGGGATATAGGTTAAGATATGACCTCATGTTTCCATCCCATTCAGGGTAGCGGGGATAATGTGACATCTTGCTTGTCTCCCAGCTTAATATGAGTTGACCACCTGATGCCTGGGAGGAATCCCCTGGAAGTACAGGTAAAATAAGAGGCACTGTCCTCACCTGGAGTAGGCCCCTGGAAGTACAGGTCAAATAAGAGGCACTGTCTTCACCTGGAGTAGGCCCCTGGAAGTACAGGTCAAATAAGAGGCACTGTCTTCACCTGGAGTAGGCCCCTGGAAATACAGGTCAAATAAGAGGCACTGTCCTCACCTGGAGGCCCCCAGAAGTGCAGGTCAAATAAGAGGCCCTGTCCTCACCTGGAGGCCCCCAGAAGTGCAGGTCAAATAAGAGGCACTGTCCTCACCTGGAGGCTCCTAGAAGTACAGGTCAAATAAGAGGCACTGTCCTCACCTGGGGCAAACCCCTGGACGTACAGGTCAAATAAGAGGCACTGTCTTCACCTGGAGTAGGCCCCTGGAAGTACAGGTCAAATAAGAGGCACTGTCTTCACCTGGAGTAGGCCCCTGGAAGTACAGGTCAAATAAGAGGCACTGTCCTCACCTGGAGGCCCCCAGAAGTGCAGGTCAAATAAGAGGCACTGTCCTCACATGGAGGCCCCCAGAAGTACAGGTAAAATAAGAGGCACTGTCTTCACCTGGAGGCCCCTGGAAGTACAGGTAAAATAAGAGGCACTGTCCTCACCTGGAGGCCCCCAGAAGTACAGGTAAAATAAGAGGCACTGTCCTCACCTGGAGTCCCCTGGAAGTACAGGTCAAATAAGAGGAACTGTCTTCACCTGGAGTAGGCCCCTGGAAGTACAGGTCAAATAAGAGGCACTGTCTTCACCCGGAGTAGGCCCCTGGAAGTACAGGTCAAATAAGAGGCACTGTCCTCACCTGGAGTAGGCCCCTGGAAGTACAGGTCAAACAAGAGGCACTGTCCTCACCTGGAGGCTCCTAGAAGTACAGGTCAAATAAGAGGCACTGTCCTCACATGGAGGCCCCCGGAAGTGCAGGTCAAATAAGAGGCACTGTCCTCGCCTGGAGGAGGTGACACTCGGATGCCAAGGTCATTTTGTTGGTGAAGATGAATAAAGTTTATTTCTGATACATGTTGTTTTATGTCACTACTTTGATGCTGAACCTCGACAGCCATATTCGGTATAAGCCTGGCTCATATCACTGACCACAGTGTTGTAAGTTCTGACCCCTGACCTGACCTTCACTGACCCCTGACAAGTATTATGCAAATAGAGGACATTTAATTGTGGTTTGCCAAATATGGTGTTTGTCTCAACAGTATCGTGGTAAGACCTGGTATGTTCACGAATCATAACACAAGATGAAATAAAACTAGTAACCATCATTAAATATTCTATTTCTTATAAACTTCAAGCTAATGTTGCATCATTTCACTTCACAAACTAAGTGCACGAAACCGTTCCACCAGGGTTCACAATACGAGATGGTAGTTGATACTTTTGAGACTAACGGAAAATAATAGTATAGAAAACTACCCAAGTTATTTGATACCACCACTGTAGACAAACGTATAACTAACGGGCTACAATGACATGTAACTTTTAAAGTGCAAGTATCATTAAAATTAGTAATAGATTTATCTTACATCGTTATGTAGCTAGTATGAAGTACAATACGATGGCCGCGAAAAAGAGATTATGAAAAGTAAAGTTGGCGCTGTTTCGCTTAATTAAAAGTACGTATTTTGAGGTCAGTATTTGTCATAATCCAAACCTTAAATCTTAAAAGCGCTAACAGACCGCCTCCGTGGTCTAGTGGTAGAGCGTCCGCCCGGAGAGCGGAAGGTCCGGGGTTCGATCCCCGGCCGCGTCATACCAAAAGACGTTAAAAGATGGTACTTATTGTTACCCTGTCTGGCGCTCGGCATTAAGGGACTAAAAAAGGATTGGTCTGTATACTGTGTCTGAGTGGGGTATTCATGTTAAACTGCGGCACGGTATCTCACTGAGCTAGCACTATAAATCGGCAAACAAGCAGCCACACAAACACATACATGCACGTCGCTATATAAGTGCAAAAATCTTGGACGCGACGTTAAACTCCATTTCACCTAAAAGTGCTTACGAGGGAGACGGCCGGCTAGGTCTGCAAGCTGATTAAATATTACTCCCAGGCGGGTACAGAACATACGCGATCGTTTCAATGGTGGGAGACCAGTGTTGTATATATAATGCTGGTATGGATTAACTGTTTGATTGGTACGGATTCCTTGTATGTCACGAGTATGGCTGGTGGGGGCGTGTCAAGTAACCTTAAAGTGAATTAGGGGGCACGGGTGGCCCAGTCGTCTAAGGCGCCGCAATTCGCTGTGCAGAGTTGCGTCCCTTGGGCGCGTCAGAAACCTATGATTGTGGGTTCGAATCCCGGTTCTCAACGATTATGTTTCTAGGTTTGTCAGCACCATACCCGTGCTCGTGGGTTTCATCGAAGTGGTAAACGTCCGAGACCTGCATCACTTCGGGCTTTCCTCCCACATTAAGCTGACACGCCGTGATATAACTTGAATACTGTTAAAAGCGGCGTTAAACCCAACTCACTAAAGTGAATTATATCATTTTAACATCGTAAGATATTTTCCTGTTCACTTTTAGGAGCGCGGGTTCCACAACCACGCCCTCAATCTGCGCCGTTATAAAGATAAAAATCGATTGATCTTTGTGGCCAATTAATGATAATTAAAAAGAAAGGTATTGTTTTCACCGACAGTCATTATCTCACAACAACATGTAACCACAGTAGATTATTGCATAATGTGTGTCAGCAGTCAGTCCAGGTATCATAAAACATTCAGCCATGTGTACAGTAACACGTTTGCAAGTGACACGAATTCAGTCTATGACATGACACTTCATCTTTGTAGTGCTGTTGCATGACTGCAACGGGATATTGTGATTTGGATAAAATATACTAAACAAACGAACCAATCTGTGTGATGCAACCACTTGTAACCCATGCATCCAGGATGGAGACCATCCTGATTTTTGTTGTCACTTTTGTCGGTCACAGGTAGGGGTTCATTTGTACTTCTTCCGAAATCATTAATTCATCTTCAGAGAAACTTTCACATTCCATTATAACTCGATAACTATTGTCACTGTAGGAGTCGAACATATCGGCAAGTTGTGATCAGGATACTGTTAAAGGGAACGCACAATCTATCTGAGGACATCACATTACGGGTCACGTCAGGCCGACCTTGCGCAAACTTTGACCGACCAATGGAATGACCAATCAGAAGGCAGCTTTCTCGTGCTTTACGGCACAAATTACAAATTGGCGACTACGCTTCGAAACATATTTTGACAAATTCTCGATTACAAATTTGAAACCTGAACAAAAAAAACCATTTTGGAATGGCTAATAGATGGTCTAGATTGTATGGATTCAGTCGTTAAACCCGTAACTATTGTTAGGAATACACCATGTTAAAGTTTTCGAGATTGCATGACTAGAAATCACATTCCGACTGTCCCTTTCATAATCTGGTAAGCGACGCACTGATTGGTCGGATGAAAGGTCGGTCTGACGTGATCCCTAATGGGATGTCTTCAGATCTTTGTTTAGCGGTAGCGAGAACTAAGGTCTGATTTTAATGAGATTGAGGGAACGCAGTAAGTACGATCGATGCTTCATTTTGTACACAAATCAGCGAATATTTGAAAAGTATCAAAAGAAAATTAATGAAAGTACCGAATGATAAATGCAATTAAAAAAATAGTGATGTAAATTGACTTTGTTACATTTCAGTGAAACAGTAAATTTCAACCCTTTTCTCCCAGTCATACTCAAGCCTGCTAGAGTGTGAACGGAAGGGCTGGCTTGTGCCATCAAGCGTGTAGTTTTGGAGGTAGCTTGTGCCACCAAGCGTGTAGTTTTGGAGATGGCTTGTGCCATCAAGCGTGTAGTTTTGGAGGTAGCTTGTGCCATCAAGCGTGTAGTTTTGGAGGTAGCTTGTGCCACCAAGCGTGTAGTTTTGGAGGTAGCTTGTGCCACCAAGCGTGTAGTTTTGGAGGTAGCTTGTGCCACCAAGCGTGTAGTTTGGGAGGTAGCTTGTGCCATCAAGCGTGTAGTTTTGGAGGTAGCTTGTGCCATCAAACGTGTAACTTTGGAGGTAACTTGTGCCATCAAGCGTGTAGTTTTGGAGGTAGCTTGTGCCATCAAGCGTGTAGTTTTGGAGGTAGCTTGTGCCATCAAGCGTGTAGTTTTGGAGGTAGCTTGTGCCATCAAGCGTGTAGTTTTGGAGGTAGCTTGTGCCATCAAATGTGTAATTTTGGAGGTAGCTTGTGCCATCAAGCGTGTAGTTTTGGAGGGAGCTTGTGCCATCAGTCTTGGAGGTAGCTTGTGCCATCAAGCGTGTAGTTTTGGAGGTAGCTTGTGCCATCAGTCTTGGAGGTAGCTTGTGCCATCAAGCGTGTAGTTTTGGAGGTAGCTTGTGTCATCTAATGTGTAGTTTTGGAGGTAGCTTGTGCCATCAGTCTTGGAGGTAGCTTGTGTCATCAAGCGTGTAGTTTTGGAGGTAGCTTGTGTCATCTAATGTGTAGTTTTGGAGGTAGCTTGTGCCATCAGTCTTTGAAGTAGGTTGTGTCATCAAGCGTGTAGTTTTGGAGGTAGCTTGTGCCATCAGTCTTGGAGGTAGCTTGTGTCATCAAGCGTGTAGTTTTGGAGGTAGCTTGTGCCATCAGTCTTGGAGGTAGCTTGTGTCATCAAGCGTGTAGTTTTGGAGGTAGCTTGTGCCATCTAATGTGTAGTTTTGGAGGTAGCTTGTGCCATCAGTCTTGGAGGTAGCTTGTGTCATCAAGCGTGTAGTTTTAGAGGTAGCTTGTGTCATCAAGCGTGTAGTTTTGGAGGTAGCTTGTGTCATCAAGCGTGTAGTTTTGGAGGGAGCTTGTGCCATCAAGCGTGTAGTTTTGGAGGGAGCTTTTGCCATCAATCGTGTAGTTTTGGAGGTAGCTTGTGTCATCAGTCTTGGAGGTAGCTTGTGCCATCAGTCTTGGAGGTAGCTTGTGCCATCAGTCTTGGAGGTAGCTTGTGTCATGAAATGTGTAGTCTTGGAGGTAGCTTGTGCCATCAAACGTGTAGTTTTGGAGGGAGCTTGTGTCATCAAACGTGTAGTCTTGGAGGTAGCTTGTGCCATCAAACGTGTAGTCTTGGAGGTAGCTTGTGCCATCAAACGTGTAGTCTTGGAGGTAGCTTGTGCCATCAAGCGTGTAGTTTTGGAGGTAGCTTGTGCCATCAAACGTGTAGTCTTGGAGGTAGCTTGTGCCACCAAGCGTGTAGTCTTGGAGGTAGCTTGTGCCACCAAGCGTGTAGTTTTGGAGGTAGCTTGTGTCATCAAGCGTGTAGTTTTGGAGGTAGCTTGTGCCATCAGTCTTGGAGGTAGCTTGTGCCATCAAACGTGTAGTTTTGGAGGTAGCTTGTGCCACCAAGCGTGTAGTTTTGGAGGGAGCTTGTGCCATCAAACGTGTAGTCTTGGAGGTAGCTTGTGCCATCAAACGTGTAGTCTTGGAGGTAGCTTGTGCCACCAAGCGTGTAGTTTTGGAGGTAGCTTGTGTCATCAAGCGTGTAGTTTTGGAGGTAGCTTGTGCCATCAGTCTTGGAGGTAGCTTGTGCCATCAAACGTGTAGTTTTGGAGGGAGCTTTTGCCATCAATCGTGTAGTTTTGGAGGTAGCTTGTGCCATCAATCGTGTAGTTTTGGAGGTAGCTTGTGCCATCAGTCTTGGAGGTAGCTTGTGCCATCAAGCGTTTAGTTTTGGAGGTAGCTTGTGTCATCAAACGTGTAATTTTGGAGGTAGCTTGTGCCATCAAGCGTGTAGTTTTGGAGGTAACTTGTGCCACAAAGCGTGTAATTTTGGAGGTAGCTTGTGCCATCAAGCGTGTAATATTGGAGGTAGCTTGTGCCATCAAACGTGTAATTTTGGAGGTAGCTTGTGCCACAAAGCGAGTAGTTTTGGAGGTAGCTTGTGCCATCAAGCGTGTAGTTTTGGAGGTAGCTTGTGCCATCAAGCGTGTAGTTTTGGAGGTATCTTGTGCCATCAAGCGTGTAATTTTGCAGGTAGCTTGTGCCATCAAATGTGTAATTTTGGAGGTAGCTTGTCCCATCAAACGTGTAATTTTGGAGGTAACTTGTGCCATCAAACGTGTAATTTTGGAGGTAGCTTGTGCCATCAAACGTGTAATTTTGGAGGTAACTTGTGCCATCAAGCGTGTAGTTTTGGAGGTAGCGTGTGCCATCAAGCGTGTAGTTTTGGAGGTAGCTTGTGCCATCAAACGTGTAGTTTTGGAGGTAGCTTGTGCCATCAAGCGTGTAGTTTTGGAGGTAGCTTGTGCCATCAATCGTGTAATTTTTTATTTAATTTCTTACAATAAGACAATATATGGAGCCTCTGTATTTATTTGTTTATTTGTTGTTTAACGCCGCACTCCACAATATTCCAGCTATATGACGGCGGTCTATAAATAATCGAGTCTGGACCAGTCAGTCCAGTGATGACATCATGAGCGTCGGTCAACGCAATTTGAATACGATGACATGCATCAACCAAGTCAGCCAGCCTGACCACCCGATCCCGTTTGTCGCCTTTTACGACAAGCATGGGTTGCTGAAGACCTATTCTACCCCGGATCTTCACGGGTCCTCTGTATTGAAAGGCTTCACCTCCGCTGTATTTTCGTTTCAGCCCATGAAATTGATAGACAGGACAAAAGTACAAATAAACCTTATATACGCGCCGCTTCCGATACTTTGAAGATGATATTTGCATTAGCCATGTTACGATCTATCCATATCTGCAAAGTTGTATACCCATGAGACTTGCATGTTAAGAAATCTAATAAATTACTATTTAAGGCAGTGGTTAGAACGTAGGAATACTTGTATTAGAATTAGAACAGCTGCCATTTTCAAACAGCTGTTCAAAATCTTGAAAACAATCAGGGTGTGCCATCAATAGACAAGGAACAGTATTCAAGTTAATCACAGCATTTCCGCTTAAATTTAATTAAAAGTGCGAGAAAAGTGATGCAGATGGTAGACATTTACCACTTTGGTGAAACCCACGAACACGAGTATGATTCCGACAAACAAAGAAACATAATCGGGGATTACCGGGATTCAAACCCACGAGGATTCTGGCGTGCTCAAGGGGCGCGACTCTGCACAGCGAATTACAGCGCCTTGGACGTCTGGGCCGCCCTGCCTCAAACACAGAAGGGTCTAAACAGACAATAACATTGGCAGAACATGTTCAGGAACACACAATCAGACAAGTGCCAAGTTTCGTTTAACAACTTCAAGGGGTTTCTTCGAGCCATTATTTGACAGTGAGGCTTCCGCGACACTGACCTTGAGTCATGGCAAGTGGCCTTGACTGACCAGTAGCGATATACGGTATCACCACCCTCGAGACTGACTCGGATAGTTTATTGTCACTTAGTCTGCCTTACAGACCCTGATACAAATATTTATCAAATACAGCCCATGCAAGTCTATAATGTTTGGCAAGTCTAGATTACTGCAGTATCTGAAAATGAAGAGAGTCACTGGGCTCCCTTTTATTATATTTTTATTAAGATAATTGAACAACTGTTTTTTCTTTACGATATGTTCATTTCAGAGACTAGATGTTAGTCTAATTGTCACTCAAGAGATAGGGGATCTATTTCACTGATAGATTTGACCATCTCACTTCCAATTATATAATCAAAACCCATCACTGGCATCCTGTCATGACAGTAGTGGTAAGGGCAGCCCAGACTCTACCTTCAGCCTCGTGTAAAGGCCATTTATGAACCCGAACAGTAGCGATGCACGTGGGCCCACATCTTATGTTCTTCCCTGAAATATGATCTCCAAGTTGACACTATACAGTAGTAATGTATTGCTGACGCGACCGTCCCTTGTACGCAGAGCAAAGGCGTCACACTTGACAATTTGAGTGCGGCAAAATACATTATGAAGCGGTCGTAAAATATATGACCATCGCCGTAGTTCGTGTGATTGGTGATCATGATTCAACAGTGCTCTCCCCGGGGAGCTCTTCACCCACTAACCTCTGCTTTTCTTGTCTCCCCGTTGGGACTCCGTGTTAGAATGTGTCCCCAGCAAGCTTTTCTTGTCTCCCCGTGGGGACTCCGTGTTAGAATGTGTCCCCAGCAAGCTTTTCTTGTCTCCCCGTTGGGACTCCGTGTTAGAATGTGTCCCCAGCAAGCTTTTCTTGTCTCTCCGTGGGGACTCCGTGTTAGAATGTGTCCCCAGCAAGCTTTTCTTGTCTCTCCGTGAGGACTCCGTGTTAGAATGTGTCCCCAGCAAGCGTTTCTTGTCTCTCCGTGGGGACTCCGTGTTAGAATGTGTCCCCAGCAAGCGTTTCTTGTCTCTCCGTGGGGACTCCGTGTTAGAATGTGTCCCCAGCAAGCGTTTCTTGTCTCTCCATGGGGACTCCGTGTAAGAATGTGTCCCCAGCAAGCGTTTCTTGTCTCCCCGTGGGGACTCCGTGTTAGAATGTGTCCCCAGCAAGCTTTTCTTGTCTCTCCGTGGGGACTCCGTGTTAGAATGTGTCCCCAGCAAGCGTTTTTTGTCTCCCCGTGGGGACTCCGTGTTATAATGTGTCCCCAGCAAGCGTTTCTTGTCTCCCCGTGGGGACTCCGTGTTAGAATGTGTCCCCAGCAAGCGTTTCTTGTCTCTCCGTGGGGACTCCGTGTTAGAATGTGTCCCCAGCAAGCTTTTCTTGTCTCTCCGTGGGGACTCCGTGTTAGAATGTGTCCCCAGCAAGCGTTTTTTGTCTCCCCGTTGGGACTCCGTGTTAGAATGTGTCCCCAGCAAGCGTTTCTTGTCTCCCCTTGGGAACTCGTGTTATAATGTGTCCCCAGCAAGCGTTTCTTGTCTCTCCGTGTTATAATGTGTCCCCAGCAAGCGTTTCTTGTCTCCCCTTGGGGACTCCGTGTTAGAATGTGTCCCCAGCAAGCTTTTCTTGTCTCTCCGTGGGGACTCCGTGTTAGAATGTGTCCCCAGCAAGCGTTTTTTGTCTCCCCGTTGGGACTCCGTGTTAGAATGTGTCCCCAGCAAGCGTTTCTTGTCTCCCCTTGGGAACTCGTGTTATAATGTGTCCCCAGCAAGCGTTTCTTGTCTCTCCGTGTTAGAATGTGTCCCCAGCAAGCGTTTCTTGTCTCCCCTTGGGGACTCCGTGTTAGAATGTGTCCCCAGCAAGCTTTTCTTGTCTCCCCTTGGGAACTCGTGTTATAATGTGTCCCCAGCAAGCGTTTCTTGTCTCTCCGTGTTATAATGTGTCCCCAGCAAGCGTTTCTTGTCTCTCCGTGGGGACTCCGTGTTAGAATGTGTCCCCAGCAAGCTTTTCTTGTCTCTCCGTGGGGACTCCGTGTTAGAATGTGTCCCCAGCAAGCGTTTCTTGTCTCTCCGTGGGGACTCCGTGTTAGAATGTGTCCCCAGCAAGCGTTTCTTGTCTCTCCGTGTTATAATGTGTCCCCAGCAAGCGTTTCTTGTCTCTCCGTGGGGACTCCGTGTTAGAATGTGTCCCCAGCAAGCGTTTCTTGTCTCCCCTTGGGGACTCCGTGTTAGAATGTGTCCCCAGCAAGCGTTTCTTGTCTCCCCGTGGGGACTCCGTGTAAGAATGTGTCCCCAGCCAGCGTTTCTTGTCTCCCCTTGGGGACTCCGTATTAGAATGTGTCCCCAGCAAGCGTTTCTTGTCTCCCCTTGGGGACTCCGTGTAAGAATGTGTCCCCAGCAAGCGTTTCTTGTCTCCCCGTGGGGACTCCGTGTTAGAATGTGTCCCCAGCAAGCGTTTCTTGTCTCTCCGTGGGGACTCCGTGTTATAATGTGTCCCCAGCAAGCGTTTCTTGTCTCCCCGTGGGGACTCCGTGTTAGAATGTGTCCCCAGGAAGCTTTTCTCATCTTCCCTTGGGAACTCCGTGTTAGAATGTGTCCCCAGCAAGCGTTTCTTGTCTTCCCGTGGGGACTCCGAGTTAAAATGTGTCCCCAGGAAGCTTTTCTCATCTTCCCTTGGGAACTCCGTGTTATGTGTCCCAAGCAAGCGCTTCTCGTCATCACGCTTGTACTCAGTGATAGAATGTGTAACCGGCAAGCTGTCCCCGTAACACACGGGAACAGCATCGCCAGGAAGCAGGGGAATTATAGTCTGATATACCTATAGTAATAAATGTATCCCAGAGCACCATCTCTAGACTTTGGTATCAGTACCAACAGCCTGGAACGTCACAGGACACATGGCGGACCCGGGTCAAGCCGACCCAGAGTTGCAACGGCTTCCATGGACTGATTCATGTCGCTACTTCGTTCGCGGCAAAGTTGTACAACAACCACGACAATTCCAGTACTGAGAAGGATATCTGACCAGGCAATGGCCAGCCGCCTTCGCTACACTGGCCTCAGAGTCAAATGACCAATCGGAGGTGTCAGGCACTCAGGGTACGGCCTTACCAGCAATCGAGAACTTTTTGTTTCAGCCACTAGTCAACATTTATGCTGCAACGAGCTGATGGGGAAGCCAGGGTGTATCGACGTCGCCATGAACGTATTGCAGCTATTTCCAATGTTAGGTCGACATTTTTGGCAGTGGCAGTGTAATTATATGGGCGGGAATCTCCCAAACTGGTAGAACAAACTTCTGCGACTGCGACTGCGACTGCAGGGCAACTTCATGGCCCAATGTTATTGTGATGAAATGCTACAACCACACTCTCTTCCTATCATGTGCCATGCTAACAACAATGCTAGCCCGCGTACAGTGCATGTGACAGCAGCATTCCCATAGAACCACAATGTAAAAGTCCTCCCGTATCTGAAGCTGATACTTGTAGTTGGATCGCTGCGTACGATAACGTCACAGACACTCAGACACTGCAATAGCTTGCACATACAGCACTATATCCCAACAACGCGGGGTGTGAACTCGAATTTTGTCCATGGGCATGGCAGTCAGTACGCTATTGGTGGACACGCTGGTGTCTTTCCTGTTTTCGACCTTAGTCATTTTCCGCTTAATTTCTTCATATTGCACACGTACCCGCTTTTATCCAGGTTTGATTCTTGGTTGGACCCAGGTCTCATACACAGTCACAAATCGATGCAAGAACCTTTCTGAAGCAGCTTCAAACAGAGCTAAATTATCACGAGACACGTTGAGTCTGGTGCGTTTGGGTCAGAGGTCCGAAGCTTTGGAACCCAACAAGCTTATACTTTCTTCATTGCCTAAGTTTCTGTGATAATGGAATGTACTCCTGAGAAATGTCTACTGAACTAGCAATATGACGCTCAGTCATTCGTTGGTTGATCATCACCATATTGTGGACTCTCTGGATCATTTCTGGCGTTTCTGACGTCACAGACCTTCCATGACGGGGATAATCTTCCAGGTTCTCCCCGCCACGCTCTTTATAGTGGCATGGTAGTGTTGTTCCCTTGAGTGATGTGGAAATGTGCGCAATATAAATAGCCTTTTATTATTATTATTTCATTTTATGTGAATACACTGCACGTTCCTCAAGTTTGACATGTTCCAAAGATCACAAACCCCTTATTCTGTTACTGAGCCAAACGATTTACTCAACTGACTCCATTCTTTTGTAGATTTACCTCTATGGCACCCTGTATTGTCCACAACAAAAGATTTCACTGTTACGCAATTCCTTCTATGTGAGGCACAGAACTTATCAATCAACCCTCGTATAAAACTGGCATAATTTACTCACTGTCTCACTCACACACCTGTGCTCCTTCTGTGTCGACAATTTTACAATGTACCTCAACACTGTGAGTGAGTGAGTGAGTGGTGGGGGTAGCCTTAACCCGGTGGAGACAAAATCTGGTCACGTGACCTTGGTTTCTTCCCAAAAAGCATGGCTGAAACGTTGAAACCAATTTCTCCTACCACGAATTAGCTGCAATATTGCTACTCCTCATTTTCCGCATTTTAGTCTTCAATTAGAGTTATCTTTCCTTGAATTTACGGAATTAAATACTGAGTGTTGTCTTCTTTCAGTTGCTCCTAAAACAAGACCACGTACACAGACATGTGATTTAAAAAGAAGAAAGAAAAATGCCCGATCACCTTGCCAAAATGCATGGCTAAAACGTTGCAACCAATTTTTCCTACCACGAATAAGCTGCAATATTGCTTACGGTGGAAAAAGAGACAGGTGAAAATACTTCATAACTTAGACCAAAAACATCTTCGTGAGGGTCGTATTAAATCCAGCAGGTCAATGCCCTTTCTCACGGTTCCGAATTCATCCATTCCTAATTTTCCGCATTTTAGTCTTCAGTTAGAGTTAGAGTTATCTTTCCTTGAATTTCCGGAATTAAATACTGAGTGTTATTTTAGTGTCCCTCAGTTGTCTTCTTTCAGTTGCTATGAAAACAAGACCACGTACACAGACATGTGATTTAAAAAGAAGAAAGGAAAACGTCTGATCACCTTGCCAACTTTAAAATCTGGAATTGATGAGGAACATTTTTTGTGGGCTTTAAGTGTTTCATTGTCGACTGGGACGTTATGGCTTTGGTTGTTTAGTGCTCAGTAATTGAGGCCAACACCAGAAGTAACTGCTGATGTAGCTCCGTGTAATCTCCGCACCACTGCCACAAACCCAGTCTACCACAAAGCGCCTACCCAACTGTGGCTTGATCTATCTTTTATTCTACTAAGATTTCACACACTTAACACCCGGCAATAAATAACAACCTTTGCCATATTAACTTGTTCCACTACATTTAATACTGTTCGATTGTGCAGCTAGAACGGTGGGAACGCGGTCCTGATCGATGTCTTTGTCATGGTTTACGGAGCAGACGACATTCTGCTAGCGATTTGTTTACAGGGACTAATGGCATGTAATCACTCTAACTATAACCATAAGCTTCAAACAGAGTCACGGCCCAGGGAGCTGGCGATTCCGTGGCAGACGACATGGTATGGAGGGAACACGCGTGTCAGACAGTCACGTGACATGATCCAGACGTCATGACATTGTTCCAGACAGACAGGGGAGTTCGGCAGACAATGCCGGGGTCCCTGCGTCTGTGTCTGTCCCAATGGTTGATACATGTTTAATGGATTCATTATGATCAGCCCGACACAACCAGTGCAGTCTGAGGACATGATCGAACACCGAGCTCACCAACGACAGGGTCTGCTTGTGCTTATATCAGAACTGTACCTGGCGGACGTGGCCAACTAAATGAACTTCACGTATGTCGAAAACATCTATTGTCTGGCTTGGGCAATAATTAGAGATGACGTCAGATGGCACATTTGTTTAGCCAGTTAAAACAATTATTCAGTGTGAGGTGACATTCACATACCACCAGATCATTCAGTTAAAGGGATGGTTCACATACCACCAGATCTTCATTCAGTCTGAGGGATGGTTCACATGCCACCATATCACCATTCACTTAAAGGGGAGGTGTACATACCATCAGGTTATTAGTCAGTGTGGAGGGAGGTTATGAAAAAGGAGGGGGAAGACTTGTAAGTTGCACCGAAGACCTATTAAGGACGTGCCATGAATGTTGTGTCACGCCGCAATCACCGATGTTCCAGCGATGACACTAAGAGTATGTGAGTGAGTTGGGTTTAACGCCGCTTTTAACAGTATTCAAGTTATATCACGGCGTGTCAGCTTAATGTGGGAGGAAAGCCCGGAGTGATGCAGGTCTCGGACGTTTACCACTTCGATGAAACCCACGAGCACGGGTATGGTGCTGACAAACCTAGAAACATAATCGGGGCGAACCGGGATTCGAACCCAGAATCATAGGTTTCCGGCGTGCCCAAGGGACGCAACTCTACACAGCGAATCGCGGCGCCTTAGAGGACTGGGTCACCCGTGCCCCCGATGACACTAAGAAGCACTAAGTATCAGATACATACACATTACGATAACACGACACAGGAAACTGTTGGTGTTCACTGATGTCCTGACCTACGGTAGGCCATTCAGCAAATAAAGAATCAATAAAATTCGAACTTCACGATCCTGACAGCTGCTTTCGCTAGTATCGGAGGGCTGGAGTTCTGTCTGCACATGCTTGCAGGCGTTTACAATCTGAACCAAACATGAAATCTGCAAACCCGATAAACGCAGAATCTGTTTGTTAAACAACTGTCACTGTCTAAGTAGCAGCGGAATCCGGGGGATGGGGTGGGGGATGGGGGTGGGGGGTGGGGAGGGGGGAAATGGTTGTAGAATATGTGCACTAATTACGCCGAAGAATCCCTGCAGTGACAGGCAGGCGCATGTTGCCACATATTCCACCCTTGTCTTACATGTTTTACTCAAATCGGAGACTCACTGATGCAGATATGTTTGTCAGGATGCAAATCTAAGATAGGATATTTATGGAGCCTTGTAAATTCATCTCACTCGAGTGTCTTTTGACAAAACAGATCAACAAAAGTCGATAAGAGTTCAAATCCCCGAGGCTGTTTTTCAACTATTTCAGTTGTAAACAGTCACAACCAGTTTCTTTAGTGTAACAAGTACAGCTAACCAGCTTCAGAGGCAAGGAGATAAGTAATACCATTTGATTGTGATTGATTTTGGATTTGGAAATCATTGTGATGAAATTCATTGCATCAGTATCTCCTTGGAGATATCGCTTGATCTCATCAGAAGGGTCATTCCTTTCTCTGACTTTCTACATGAGGAGGAATGCAGCATTGATCTACACCTGGAACAGAAGCGTCATTCATTTCTCTGACTTTCTACATGAGGAGGAATGCAGCATTGATCTACACCTGGAACAGAAGCGTCAACCCTTTCTCTGACTTTCTACGTGAGGAGGAATGCAGCATTGATCTACACCTGTGACAGAAGCGTCCTTACTTTCTCTGACTTTCCACGTGAGGAGGAATGCAGCATTGATCTACACCTGGAACAGAAGCGTCATTCCTTTCTCTGACTTTCCACGTGAGGAGGAATGCAGCATTGATCTACACCTGGAACAGAAGCGTCATTCCTTTCTCTGACTTTCTACATGAGGAGGAATGCAGCATTGATCTACACCTGGAACAGAAGCGTCAACCCTTTCTCTGACTTTCTACGTGAGGAGGAATGCAGCATTGATCTACACCTGTGACAGAAGCGTCCTTACTTTCTCTGACTTTCCACGTGAGGAGGAATGCAGCATTGATCTACACCTGGAACAGAAGCGTCATTCCTTTCTCTGACTTTCCACGTGAGGAGGAATGCAGCATTGATCTACACCTGTGACAGAAGCGTCAACCCTTTTCTGACTCAGGCTCCTCATGGGAGGAAGGCAGCATTGATCTACATTGGGGATAGAAGCGTTTAATCTTTTCTCTCGCACCCACGTCGGAAGAAATGCAGCATTGTGTGTGTGTGTGTGTGTGTGTGTGTGTGTGTGTGTGTGTGTGTGTGTGTGTGTGTGTGTGTGTCTGTGTGTGTGTCTGTGTGTGTGTCTGTGTGTGTGTGTGTGTGTGTGTGTGTGTGTCAGCAAGTACCCTCTTTTAACGCCTTTAAGGATGACGCGACCGGACATCGACCCCCACTTGCGAAGGAAAGTAGTGCGAAATGTAATAATTCTTAACATATAAATGCCACACAGAATAACAGACAGCATTATTAAATTTAATCCTATCCTAAAATGGTGCGAGTCTTAACATTGAAGGACGTTTATCTTACTGACGGCCCCAACATAAAGTCTCCACCAGGGGGTGCTATGTGTCACGAGCCGGAATGTCCGATAACCCTTGGACCGAACACTCCACTTGGCGTGATTGTTTAGTAGCTAACAAATCTGTAGTCGGACATCTTGGCCGCGGTGATCCGTGAGTCGGGGTTGAGAGTCGGTACACGGCCATTGTTGGGGGTGATTTGTTGGGGAATCCTCGCCGTGCGGGATGCGATATGTCGTCTGCTCCGACATTCGGCCAATTGGCATCGATCAGACTGCACCAGGAAAGGGTGAAGAGGTTTCTATCGTTTTATTACATCTAAGTTAACAGAT